TTTCATTGGTTTTTAATTAAAGTGATAGGCTATTAAAAAAAATTGTATGAATAATTTTATCAATTGTTTGTTCAAATTTTGAAATACAAATTTAAAACTTTTTTAGTTTGCCAAAATATATAAGTTAATATTTTTAAAACAAGCCATTTATTATTTTACAAATGAGAGTTTTTGAATTGATTTTGTTTGGTTATAATTATTCTGACGGCAGAAGTAGGTGACTAAAAACAATATATCATCTTAATATTTATAAGTTCAGCTAATATATGATTCAGATCTTGGAGGCTATAATTTTAACCACAATTGTATATGAGTAAACAAAATCTCTCCTTAAATATAAACAACGGTACTCGGCGTAGTTTCTACCAGTCAAACGCCGATAAGCTCTGAGGTCAAACCAATTTTTCTCTGAAATAAAATAATCTTGCAGACAAACTTTGAAATTCCAGCAGCAAAAAGTTAATTAATCGCCAATGTTACTTTCCCGATGGTTTATCAAGCAATGAGTTCGGGGACTTACACGGACAGCTGGGCAGATAAGCGAATGGGATGAGTCTGGGGGCAGCCGGATGACTAACCAGGTGGCGAAGGAGCCAATTGATACAGTTCCAGGCGCTCCAGGAAATGCTTAGCCAGTTGCGTCGAACAATGCCCATTGAATAATACAGTTCATTACGCGAACTCGCTGTGTAAACAAACACCGAAAGCGAAACAGCAACAGAAACAGAAACGGCACAACAGGTTATTCGTTTCATGGACAAGCTATCTGTTGTTGGTTGGTGGAAGTGGTCGGGTCGAGTGGTGACTCATCGGCGGAACCCTCTTTCCGTCTGGCTATGGACTATGGACGATCGCGTCTGCTGGTGCTGCATATTATTTATAAAACGGACGCCCCCCTCTGACTAATCCCATTTCCGATCCTATAAAGTCAAGATATTGCTGATCAGCATCATCAGTCCATCTGTTTGTATGCGATTGGAAACTTTCCAAAGGTTTTCGTTTCGAAATTGCTCATACGCACAATTATATGCTGTGGCTAGACCAGTTCAATTTGGTTAGCATCGTTGACTTTAAATAGAGGATTTTAGGAGGTTTCCTTAAGTATAAAGTTTCAAATATTATATCAAAGTTTTATAACTTTAGTATAAATTTGTTGTTTTTAAAGATAATCACATTTAAATTGGGATGTGGTCCCCTTACGCGTTTTCATTTTGGAGTTTATTAAAATCGAACTACTTTATCGTCTGGCTCTCTAAAAACAACTGACCGGATGTGGGGCGAAGGATCAGATGGTAAGCCCCTCCTGCATACGCACCTTAATGTATCGCAGGGAAAGGCGAATGATGGGATGCCGGTGAGCACCTCCTTGTCGCGGAATCCCTCGGGGAAGCTCTCCACGATGACGCCGGCGGGTGCGGCCGGACCACCGCTCCTGGGACTCGTGCCCCTCTCCAATCCCGGCGTCGACGAGACCTCGCACCAGAACTCGAAGAGCTTCTTCACGTCATTTCTGGTGAGGAGGAGGAGGGGGGAGGTGGAACGGGGAATTCGCGATGACTCGTGGGAGTAAAAGCGCTCCGCCAGCGGCCAGTGGAGCGGAACGCCCACTGCAGCCACCAACTGGAACTGGGCGGCATACTCACTTGATACGCGATCCCATTTCGAGAAGGTCTAGCACATGTTTCGGTCAGTGGGGGATGTTCGTTTGACTTGTGTTTAATCCGGGCTGCTAATACGGATAATACTGATTTTTCTGGCACAATACGGGTGTACTACGTCCTCCACTTTCCTCCAACTGCTCTTTGTCGCCTCAGATTCGCGACGTCATTGGTTTCTTTCCGCCGTTCGCGTTGTTTTTCTCGCACTTGTTTGGTCTTGCTCGGGAATGGGGACCACTGCTCACTAATTTTCTGGCATTTTTGGGCCACAACAATTGATATTCACTTGGAACCCGCAGTTTTATGCAAGCAAACAGAACAAAAACACCTCGTACAACAAAATCGCGAACAGTACGTCCGTTCGGGGTGGAACAAAACCGATATTAATTCGATACCATCAAAATTGGCAACATCGATGCCTCCCTCCAAGCATCGACTACTTTACGTAGTCTGGTCACTCTACTGCACACATTTTTTGATTTGGCGTCCCACGGTGTGTTTACATTTTCGGCAGTGTGCGGCCTTCATAGTTTTTTCAAGTTTCCTTGCACCCCAGACGATTTGTTCAAGGTTTTGTTCTCCTCTCTCTGCAGCCGCCAAAAAATTAATAATATTTTTAACGACATTACGTAAGAGCGTGTAACCGAAACAGTTTGCCTTTTGAAAAATTCCTGTACTCAGATCTACAAATTGCGACCGCGAATTACTATACTATAGTTCCGAATTCGATTCCGTCATACTTGGCACGGTAATTACCTGCACCCACCAGTCGAATCAATAGAACACCATCTACACCGCTCACCACCCACTCACGCCCATTGTTTTGTTGCTGCACGTGATGACGCCGAGGAGAAGTCCGAACCCGAAACCAAAACCGACACCGACACCGAAAGCCGGGGTCAATCCAATACTGAGATACTATCAGTCCACTGCGGACGTAGTTTCGATTTGTGTCAGCCCCGTCACAGGTTTTTTTTAAGTCGCCCTGTCTAAATTTATATTTATTCTTTTATTTTCGCCCTCTTTTCAAGGTAAGCACCCAAAAATTCTGGAAAGTAATGCCAGACAGCACAATCGGCAGAGCCCCTCGGACCGTAAACCCTCGGTTTTAGCACACTATTATAGTTTTAGACGTTAGTTTAGAATCGCCATGCTGTGCGCCCTTGTCCGTGGTCCTTCCACCGGCCACAAGTTGGCCATCTACCGCTCCGTGTCCGAGCTCATTGGCCCGGGTCACGATATCCGCTGCCTGTCCGCCGGAAGAGGCGTCTATCAGCACCAGAAACCAGCCCAAACCCACCGTCGAGATCTGCTGTGAGTTAGCGATAAGCGCCATACGCTAACCAAGTGTACCTGAACCCGTCCCGCCTGCACCCTTTCCAGGGCGTGTGTCGTCCGCCTTTGATACGGACTGCCGCTCGTTCAATCGGAACCCATGTGCATACATTAGCGCGCGGAGATTAGATATGCCTCCTTGTACTTATTAGACCGAAATAACCCATTCATGCCACTAACAAGTCGCGCTGCGCTGTAAATCATTTTATTTTTGCCTTGTTCGCTCTTTCAGCTCGCTTTCCCGGGAAGCAGAGAGTTCCAAATTGCCAGTACGGAGTCTTCATTCGGAGCGCGACGCCATGTTCTACTCGATGTACGCGTACCTGTCCAACCTGCCGCGCCTCCACGTTTTGGGCATGGCGGTGGTGGCCTATGTCGTCTATTACCTAATCCAGGTGGTCAAGGTGAGTGTAATGACAGCGATTGCATCATGTCCGGTGCGTGACTAATCACCAAATTGGGCTTGTAATTACAGCGACCTATTATCGCTTGTTCGGACGGGCCGTTTAAGCAGTACCTGATCCGCAAAGTGCCGACGCTGGAGAACAAGTATTGGCCCACCTTCTGGTGTGTGGAGAGCCGTGCCCAGACCGTCCTTGCGAGCCTGCTGCGCTCTAAGAGTCTACCGCACGTTAACTACCGTCGCGAGATCCTCTCGCTGAAGGATGGCGGTGAGGTGGCCCTGGACTGGATGGAGGAGGGCTGTGAGGCCAGCTCTCCATGCATCCTCATCTTGCCGGGCCTGACCGGTGAGTCGCAGGCTGAGTATATTAAATGTCTGGTCTTTGCCGCCCAGCAGGCTGGAATGCGAGTGGTGGTGTTCAACAATCGCGGACTCGGTGGCATCGAGCTGAAAACCCCTCGGCTCTACTGCGCCGCCAACTGCGAGGATCTGTGCGAGGTAGTCCAGCATGTGCGTCGCACCCTGCCCGAGCAATGTAAGCTGGGAGCCACTGGAATCTCCATGGGTGGCTTGATCCTGGGCAACTATTTGGCCCGCAAGAGCGACGAGGCCCGGAGCTTTCTTTCAGCTGCGAAGATAATTTCGGTGCCTTGGGACGTGCACAAGGGCAGTGCCAGTATCGAAAAGCCTGTGATCAACAGCCTGCTGGGACGCCATTTGGCTGCCAGCCTGTGTCGCACCTTGCGCAATCACCTCGACATCTACAGGGATATTTACCAGGACTCTGACATCGACATTCAGCGCATCTTGCGCTGCAAGACCATCAAGGAGTTCGACGAGCTGTTCACGGCCAAGCAGTTCGGTTATGCCCATGTGAATGACTACTACTCGGATGCCACGCTGCACAACAAACTGGACCACATCTCGGTGCCGTTGCTCTGTCTGAGTGCTGCCGATGATCCGTTCCAGCCACTGGATGCCATCCCCATCAAGGCGGCCAACCAATGCACCCATGTGGCCATCATTATTACGGCTCGTGGCGGCCACATCGGCTTCCTCGAGGGCTGGTGGCCGTCCACCAAGGACCAGTACATGGGCCGCCTGTTCACAGAGTACTTCAGCAAGGCGCTATTCGACGAAGACGGCGAGTTCCAGCACACGTCCAACAAGATGCACGAGCGGTTTATAGCCAAGCAGACAGTATCGCTGGCCTCCTCGTCCCCGCTGCTGCTGAACAAGAAGGTGGACGCTGATCAGCTGGACCACAAGGTCAAGCTGATGTGAATGAGGCTTACTACTTTTGCTCAGTTTTTGTCCGACTAGGATTTCCACTTAAATACATAGTTGTTCGCGTATGTATTCCGATAGATTTCCGTAAGCGAAGACTTTCGTACACATGTGATATGAAACATTGATCAAAATCCAAAGTGTTGTTATACTCTAAGACAGCGAATAGGGAACCAAATTGTCAGTCAATATGCATAGTTGCTTAAATTATTATTAGAACGTGAAATTAGTGACATATCAAGTTGAAATTGCAAAAAAGCTTTACGATTCGTAGTGGTAAATTCAAATACAAATATTTATGACACAATGCAATAATCTTATATTTTTACAAGTTCCGTATATTTATAACTAATAAAAATACAACGCTTAATAAAGAGAAAAATAAAACACTTTCACTGCATTTTATAGTAAATTTGACAAGCGAGACGTATTGGGCTTGGGGTATTTCCCGAATCGATTTAATGTCACCGGGATTACCCCCTCATAAAAACCAGGTTCCTACAGCTAAAATACCAATACCGAGTGGCCTAAATGGGCTTGTAAAGCAGCGTGGTGACGTACTTCTTGCGGTACCGATGCGTGGCACTCAGCACCATAACGCCATCCTTGATGGACAGTGCATACAAGTGGTTAAGCATCACATGGTTTGGTTCCGGCAGCAGAGTGGGTTCGCACTATGAGTAGAAAAAGATAACATTAGGGGGGATACTTCGCAAAACAGAGGGAATACTTACCGAAAGCGGTGTATCTTTGTTGAGGATGACCTGCAGCAAATGGGGTGGCAAAACGGGTGGCCCGGATACCTTCTCCCAAGGCTTCACCTGGGGCACTTCCTGCGTGTATTCCTTCTCCGCGTAGTTGGTCACGTTCTCACTGTCTTTGGCCAGCGCCTGGAACACTTCAAAATCGGATTCCCGCACGGACACTAAGTTATTTCTGTGTCCCTCGTCGTTTTCAACGCTTTTCTGAAATTACAAACCGATGAGCAATAATCAATTTTATTGTAATTATAGCTGGTTAAACAGTGCCCTATGAAATAATTCATACATAATGCCTTTGTTGAGTGCCATTCATGGGCGGATCCCATATGTAATTGTAGCCAATAAGTGGCCTTTTCGCTGAGTTCACTCATAAAATTGGATTGAGGTATTATCGATAGAACGGAAATTGTGTTGAATATTTTGGGTAGGTATAATTATATGCAATATAATGTATGATATGGGAGATCGATATTTGCGCTGGAAAGAAAATTGCTTTGAATATTTTCTGTAAGTGGGCGAGGTCAATATATTACTTTAGGCAATATCTAGTGCTATTTTGCTAAGTGGAATTGTTAGTGATATTTGCTTTCACAATGAAATGCAGTATTTTCTGGGAGTATTTCATTTTTTGATTACATACACATTTTAAAGACCTAAATAACAAGTTAAAAGGTTTTCATTTCTGTTACTAGATCGTTTGCTCACTATAGATCGCAAATAAGCGAATATTTGTAATGAGTTCGTGCCCTTTTTTTATAGAGTATTATAAACCATTATTTATTTATGTATACAAGGTGGAAAGGAAACTATTTAAAAGGTTTAAATTAAAGATTACACGTAAATAATTGTAATAAATAAGTAATGGATTTTATTATCTCTATTTAAAAATCCATTATTTTATGTCATTCGATTATTACTCTCCACTTTTTAGTTATACTGCCACAATCGGATTTAACTATCTTAAAAAGATAGAGAGATTAAATTTTCTCAAAGGTTAATCTATAATTGCAATTCTTTTCGTGTAACACTGTTTGAAAATTCCATTGATTGGAGCTCCCTACAAAATAGCTAAATCTCCCCAGATGAGCATCTCTGAACCCAATTGAAATCCACTACTGATTACTGGGGAGACTTCGGTTTGTTTACGCCGATTACACAACGCGGGCGAAAATCGTTAACTGCGTCATTCGGGCGCCCGAATCGTAAACACAGAGAAAACGGCGCCCACTCTATTGATTTTCCTCCCAGAAACCCCAAAAACTGACCAGCTTGGGATCGTGTTTCCATTCGCCGTCCACGCAAAACTTGTACTGGTGGTCTCCCTCGGGTAGATCGATGATGGTCACGAAATTCTGGTGGCTTCGGACCATTGTGATGGGCTTCCAGTTGCTAAAAGTTCCCGAGATGGTTACGTTCTTGCCGCCGCCATCCCAACGGAGCACGGTGGGAAGGGCCGTCTTCCGGATGTCGTCCTCCTCGCTGAGTAGTTGGGATCCCGGCGCTGGCTCCGTCCCTGCCTCCTCCTCCTCGTTGTGATCCATGCTGGAGTGCTCTCGGTGAACAGCTGATGACGACTCGTCGGCAGTGCGCCTGGTGGATCCAGTTCCAGTTCCCGTGTAGTACGGGTCGTCGTCTTCTTGCGACGAGCCCTCGTTCAAGACTGCCGTATGTTTTTTGTCGAACGAGAAAGCTTGGCCTCCTCCTCCTCCACCGCCACCGCCTCCCGTCCCCGCTGCACCGCCCAACACAGCTGCTGCGCCAGCACTCCCGCCCTGTACCGCTCCCCCACCTCCAACTGCTCCTCCCCCGCCAACGCCCACGACCGAATCGCGGAAATGTGCGGGAGAGCTCGGCGTAGACAAGTCGGTCGACTTGTGGCGCTCGCGCTGCATGTGCACGGTGGAGCTGGCGTTGCCCATGTTTACTGCCGCTCTCTCTGGCCCTTCGGCAGGTCACAGCCCGAGTTTAATGAGGTTTTGACTTGTGTCTGGAATCCTCTCCTGGTCGCTTCTTTGTCTTGGCACTTTGTTTTGACCTGAAAGTCGCGCGTTTACGATTGTTTCACGGACGATATTTTGCACGGCTTGTAGTCTTTTGGCAGTATTTGGCATTTATTACGCAGAAAACTGCCTTATTCAATCGTTTGTTTCGTAAAAAAATTGCTAATAATAAACATTCGCAAGTTCCGATAGGCGATAAACTACACAGGGTTGTTTCTTTGAGCATTCAAAACAAAGGAGCTATCGGGCGATAAGCACACAAAATGCTATCGGAACTGCCACTTGTTTTAAATCATACAAAAGCTTTTTGCTGAATGTCGTTAAAGCTTTAGATAGTGTTGATGTTTTAAATTTCTGATAGCAACATATAATCCTGCTTATCACTTTAATTCTTTTGAATTGTTTTGATGAATTCGTGGTAACCAACTCAGTAAATTTTTAAAATAGATATCTAATGGATATATAAATTAGGTCAATGAATCATAAAATTTATCTTTTAATAAACAAATTAAACTGAATTCCGGGATGACTAAACCCAAAGCGAATAAGATAAGTTATTAGATTTAAGAAAGAGCATTTAACAGGTCGCCTATTCCTCTGTAAGTGCGTACAAACAAGCATTACAACTGAGGAAAACCGAGGGTCCAAAGTCCACAGCAATCAACATGCATCCGAGCACAATAAAAAGGCATAATATAAAAACGAGAAAGACAGAAAAGTGAAACAAAGAGCAGCGGCGGAAGTTCGTTGGCAAGGCTGCTCTATGATGAACCAGGTAGAATGTGAATTTAGCTGCCAAAACAGATGCAGCCAAAAACAAACAGAAGACAGAATCACTGAAAAGAAAAGGCGATCAAAACAAACTAGACAAACCGCCTCGGAAAGTCAGGTACCAACACTAGAAACCAGACGCTTTCCAGACGATGGCAACACCCAAAGAAATTCATGGAAAATACACATTGGATTGGCTAGCATACACTTAAAAAACTTTCCATTTCCTCTCTTTTTAATACATTTGTATATTCAAAATCGTGTTATATTTGAAATATCTTAATATTAGGAAATAACGGGAAGCGTATACAATCTTAAAAACGGCATTATTAGGAAAAATATAAACATTTGTTTGGTTGCAACCTCCATTAAATCGCCATGTATCGCAAGCAGTTTTTATTTTAGATAATAGGTATACATTTTTTTATGTCATATTTAAAATTTAGGATATTAGGAATTAAAATGTGGATACATATTTGGGGAGCTAATCATAATCATAATCACAAATGTGACCTCAGATCTAAAATATTATTGATTTTAACTAATGAATTAATTTAAAATAGTTGATTTTGTTAGTTTTAAAATTGTTTAAAAACCGATCTAGACAATATTTCTTTTTGTGCACTCGTGGGGTTTGTATAGGTGCGTGCGTGGTAGACACTAACACCCAGACAAAACCCGACGCCTTCGCATTTAAAATTGATTAAAACTAAAAAGACTCGATGCCGATGCCGTGCCTTGTTTCGTTTTCAGTGCGATCGCAGACATTGTGCAAAACGGTTCACAGTTCTCTCCGCTCGACTGGAAGTGAAGTGATCGTGTTGCTGTTTCTGTTTTTGTGGGAGTGCACTGGAAGAAGCCGGAGAAATCGTGTCAAATTAATTGGAATTAAAGCCTGCAGCAGAGTCACAAGTGGCAAGTGAGCATTTGAGGTAGGTCAGTGGGCTGAGTTGACCTCGCCACTCTTATCAGTAAGGGCCAGACCCACTTTGAATTCCCTCATTATCGATGGTTTTTCAAGGCCCCCACTCCCACATCCACTCCCTCTTATCGTATCACGTCCGACTAACCTTACTAACCAACTAAAAACTAACCCGAAAACCCAAACACCTAACTATTTCCCATGGCTCCCGTGGACGGCGCGTGTTTTAGTCGATTTCTGACCACATTATCAGCCTAGTCAGTGAACTGTTTTGAACTGCTAATTGATAATATGTATGCGGCAACACCTATATATTTAGATTGGCAAACGATTCAGCTTAAAACTACGACGCACTTGCCACTTACTTGCAATTTTATCGAAGCCTGTTTGATCAGCCTAAGTAAATTTAAAATACCTCTTTACTCGGTGTTATACATACTCTCCTAACTGAAAAACAAAAGACCACTCGGTGAAAACAAACAGAAACCTTCAAGATGGCCACCACACCTGAAGCAGATACGATAATAATAAATGTATACCAAGACCTTATCAATACTCTGACTTGTTTTTCCACTGCACCATAAATGAATTCAATTAAGATCGGACGACAGCCAAAAAAAGAAAAATCCCACACTTGGAAACAACTTTAGAGGCACGAGCCCACCAAAAAAACAAGATTTCAGTCAAAATAAATAAATTATGGTGTCTATACATATATATTTTTAGCTTTATCAATTTCGGGCGTTTCTTCGGAGGCTCGACATATACACACAGCCAATCGGAACGAGATCTGTAGCGAGGGTCGCACCATGGATAGTGTCAAGTCGTTCTTCGCCGGTTCCAGCAAAGATGGAAACCTGTCGAACAACCGACAGTCGAATGTTCCCGGATCCTCCGTCAGCAGCCGCTGGGGACGGAGCTGGAGCACCAGCTCCCAGCACACGGATCCCGAACCAGGACCCTCCAATTCCAATGTCAGCAAGAGCGGAAATCCCTGCGATGTGAAGCGCAAGGATAGTGACAACTACTTCTACATTATGTAAGTTGGTTTTTCTTTTCAGAAATTCATTTTGGAGAGCCGGGAACAATCATTTTAAGGGGCAAGATAAGATAGAAACATCTTTATTTGTCTTTCTGTTTGGCATTTCCAGATAGTTATAAAACATTGAAGATGATACAAAGTTCAATAATTTAATTTATTATTATTTGATCATTGGTTATACTATCTACTATATTTATTTTTAATGTCACTTTTAATAGTTAAACACCATTTAAGATGAGTCACAGTTCACTAGATTAACTTTCAGATAATAATATAGAGAATCATTTTGAAATGATTCAGAGTCCATTTAACTTATTATTTCGATTATCAGACAATCATAAATTCTTCATATATTTCCTGATAGTTAAAGAGGAAATATAAATAGATAGGTCTTATATGAGCAAAATTATTATATTTAAAGAAACACGTAATAGGTTAATATCATCCATTTGGTTCCACATATTTTTGTAACTTTAATAATGATTTCTCTTCTTTACTATATTCATTTTGATCACATGATCAGTCTAGTTCCATTTAATAAATTCAAAAGATTTACCATCTTGAAGATTGTCATATCAATCTATCTATACATATCTATATTAATTTACTAGACATTTATGAAAGTTCCCGACTTAGAGTCTGCTTTCAGTTTAGCTTAAAATGAGTCGTATATGAATGCAGTTTACTCCTTGATATTTTGATCTGTATAGAATATGCTTTATGGAAAAAAGATACCAAACGATTACCTATCATTTAAAAGGCTTTATCTGTATAGGAGTATACAAGAAAAGCAGATAAGATAGATTCCGATTGGTTGATCAATGACCCTAAAAGTTGTTTACTACCCAAGACACTTTTACGAGCAAACGTGCCTATTTATAATGGTATCTTTGTGTCCCATTCTTTGCTTTATAACTCTTCGAATATTTTTTTTGAGTAGTTCTCAAGAGGTTTTTATTTCCTGTACTTGTTTATTACTCTGTTTACTTGGTCCCAAGAAATAATTTGATTATCTTGCAACTGGCTTATCAGTCATTGCACATGGAAGCCCATAAGTAAATGGTTTGGCAACAGCTGTAATTTCGGAGCCCTGATAGCCGTTCAATGCCTGCAATTGTCGATTACGACAGGGGTTAAAAGCTTGATCAATGTGAATAATTAAATGCCAAAAGAACGTAACCAAACATTCTCTATAGAGGCTGGCAAACCAGTTTGTGCGGTCATAGATTCGTAAGCCTAAGCTGGCTTAAAGTTCTGAGCGAGATAGCCTGATATTCGGAGGGGTATCTGGACTGGAACTGCATAACCAGTTAAGAGTCAGTTGCGAATTAACTGGCGCTGCGAACAGCTGAGGAAGTCCCGTATTTAGAATGTGAGTGGACGGGGATAGCCCCGAAAATAAACAATCTGGGCGTGGGCCTTGCCAGGTCGTATAAAGTGCGTGACTCAGTGGAGCAGCTGGGCAGTAACCATTGGGCAATCAGACTCTCAGCACGCTGTAAGATCCGCAGTCGGGTTAATATGTACCAAAACCACAACTGATGCAATATCATCTCTTCTTTCGTCTCGATTTAGGTGGCGCGCTTGAAGAATACCAGACGATTGTGGATTTGTGGATCGGAGCATCAGTCGGATGAGTCGAGATCCGTATCTCAAGTGACCTGCAGCTATATCTGTAACCCTATTAGGAACATCGGAGCGCTAGCTGCAACATTGGCCTTTTGCCTAGTTGCACCATCTCCATTGGCCGAGTCCGGTGTTTAGTGATACTAGTTATTTATTTACAATTATACACACAAGACATATTCACTTACCCCCATTATTGTACGTACTGTCCGATCGATCCCCCCTCTCCTATATGGACGCCATCACAATTCTGGGCTTGGTCTACTGGCTGATCTGCCTGATTTTGTTTGGACCGCTGATGTTCTTTGTCTGCGTCTACCTGCCCGAAGTTCCGGTTCGATATGTGAAGAGTCTGAGGCAGCAGACTTGAGTGCCATTCAGCCCACTTGACCAAGAAATATCCAAGTCCGTAGTACATAAATTAATCAAGCCATAGCTGAAATGATGTTGATGTACAACCGATCGATTTGTAATAAAAAACTACTCAAAAATTCATTTAACTTAAATATCTAACGCGTTTATATGGGGGTTGGGGAATTTTATTTACTGATCTTAAGAACCCCCATGCGTCAGTATAAAATGAAATGCTTAATTATAAGTTCATTAAAAGATTAAAAAATCAGAATGTCTAAGCTCCATATCCGCCGTTTTATTAGAACCGTTTTAATAAAATATTTTGGTTTATTCTTTATTTGTACCTCTCGCAATCAGTTGCAGTCGAGTGGCTTCTTACTTTTATTTATGTGAATACAAAGCTAAGTAGGCGGAAATATGAGTGCCACAAAACATATTGCTGTTTTAAAAAAGCTACTTTTGTTGGTTGGAATATTGGATCTGCAATCAGTTGACGGCCAACCAAATCGGCCATTTATTTGCGTAAAACAAAGAAAACAAATAAATTCACATAATAGTACCAAAAAATATGAAAATACAATATTTTTTCGATGCGGGTATCTATGTAAGCTGATGCGTGGCCTGACTATGCTCCTTTCGTTTATTTGTTAAATCACATTCCTATTTTATTAACCATTTGATTTCCAAAGGAATTAATGCCTTGTTTTTCTCTCCTTCGCTTCAAACTAAAATTTTGGCTTAATTAACTTTATCGGTTATCAATTAACACAAAAACGTTTGGGTCGGGGGTGAATATGCAGAACAGTGTGGAGATTTCGATAGCGCTTTGATTTAGTTTGACCAGGACAGCAGCTGCTTCATGTCTGGATCATCTGTAATGGAATTTAAGTAAGAACTGAAGCGAGGAGCCGAAATCCCATAAACTCACCATCATCGGGCACTACAGCCGTCGTGGCAGCCGCCTTCTTCTTCTCCTTGGCCTTCTCGGGCAAATCTTCTGTGGGTGCTTCGGGCAATGTGGGCGCCGGCTCGGGAATACCAATGATTTCCTTGTCGAAGTTCTCCTGTTCCAGCTCGTCGAGTTCCCGCTCGAGATCCTCATCGTCGAGATCGGCTCCAAAGGCCACTGGGTTGGAAATGGCATCGGAAATCTCACGGGCTACGTCCTGCTGCTCGGCAATGTCGTCCATCATGTCGTGCACCTTGTCCACATCCCTGTAAATGGGTTAAAGTTAGTATTTGGATCGCATGCTGCTGCGGATCTATGACTCACATGTTCTGGTGGGCTGTTTTGAGGGCATCCGCGGCATTCTTCATTGTGGTCAAGACGGCAGTGTTCGTGTTGGCGCTCTCCAAAGCCTCCCGCTGCATCTCAATGGTGGACAGGGTGCCATCGATCTGCTGCAGCTGCTTCTCCAGGCGCTTCTTCTTTTTGAGGGCTTGCAGGGCCACTGAAAAGGTGAGTGGAAGAAGGATTAGAAAGTTATCAAGACGATACTTAAAATATGATATGGCCAATTTGCTATGCGTGGTTTCAAATTATTCTACTGCATGGCTTGTGTTTGTTTTGGGTTATCAAAAGGAATGTTTATATTACGTTCTGAGCGATTTGCGGACACGTCCAGGCATCGAATGGTATGCGGGTGAGAAGGGCGAAGAAATACAGATTGTTTTACTAAGTGTTCTATTTGCTGACAGCAAGGGGGCTGATTAATTGGGAGGCCTCTCGGCCGCAACAAAAACAAAGCAATGAGTCATTTGCCCTGGCCCAACTGGTGGCCGACTGGCATTCTAAGGACCTCCGCAGGCTGAACACATACCTCTTTTGTTTTTGGACGCATTCTTGCGAGCTATGTTCAGCTCGTCCTCGATCTTAGCCTCCAGGAACTCCTGCTTTTTGATGAGCATGTTCTCCGTCTCGCGTAGCTTCTGTATCGCCTCGCCGGTGGTTGGGGCCACCTCCTTCTTGCCGCCGAACATCTTCCCGAAGAAACTCATCCTGGCTGGTCTATTTTTTCACCTGAATCCTGCGAATAATTGGATTTTTTCCTCAAATTGCGTTTCTTGGTTGTCTGCGGCTGTTGTTCGTATGCGTCACCCGATACCGATTGGTCTGGGTATCGCTATCGTCATCGTAGCTGTGTATGCAGTTGGTATTTTTCTGGAGTGGAGGTATTTTTCACCGAACGCGAGCTGGTCACTTCGGCTGGCCAACGCCGAGAAATAAATAAACATAAAATTTGCCAATTCCGCATTTTGCCGTCCCGACATACACCGTGAATTTCTGAATTGCGGGAATAACTAATCCTACGGTGACACGGCAATCGGAATCCACCTAGAATGGCCAATCGCACGGTGAAGGAGGCCAAAAACGTGCACGGCACCAATCCGCAGTACCTCATCGAGAAGATTATCCGCTCCCGTATCTACGACTCCAAGTACTGGAAGGAGCAGTGCTTCGCCCTCACAGCGGAGCTGCTCGTGGACAAGGCCATGGAGCTGCGTTTTGTCGGCGGAGTCTACGGCGGCAACATCAAGCCCACCCAGTTCCTCTGCCTCACGCTCAAGATGCTGCAGATTCAGCCCGAGAAGGACATCGTGGTGGAGTTCATCAAGAACGAGGAGTTTAAGTATGTGCGGGCCTTGGGAGCCTTCTATCTGCGGCTCACGGGAGCAGCCCTGGACTGCTACAAGTACTTGGAGCCGCTGTACATTGACAACCGCAAGCTGCGCCGCCAAAATCGCGCCGGCCAATTCGAGATCGTCTATATGGACGAGTACATAGATGAACTGCTGCGCAATGACCGTGTCTGCGACATCATACTGCCCCGCATTCAGAAGCGTTCCATTCTGGAGGAGAACAATGAGATCGAGCCCAAAGTGTCTGTACTGGACGAGGATCTGGATGATGAGCTGCCTAGCGACGAGGAGAAGACGGATGAGGCCAGCCGCACCAAGGAGAACTCAACATCGGTGCGAAGACCTCGAAGAGCTCGCTCCAAGTCCAGGTCACGCAGTCGGGAGCGCGAGAGGAGATCTAACCAGGGCAACAACGCCCGCTCCCGGGACTACTACGACGAACTGGAGGACTACGACCGCCAGCGGAACCGGGTGCGCAATCGGGACACCCAAAACGAGGACTATGAACGCCGGCAGACCAGTGGACGCCAGGATCGGGAGCGGGAGCGCGAGCGGCAGGATCGGGACAGGATAAGGGAGCGCGACAGGAACGGCGACAGAGATCGCCGGGAAAGGGAGCGGGAACGCGATCGAGGCCGTCATGATCAGCGGGAACGAGATTCGCGGGGAGAACGTGAACGACGCCGCTACTAGAAAAAATAAGTTTGAATTGAATTAGTTGACCAGTAAAAAATCGAACAAAATATCAACGGTCTTTTTCTCCCACAAGTTGGCAGCACCGAAAAAAAAATCGATAGTCGAAATCAAAACAATAACAAATAATAAGCATACGCAATCAGCTGTTGCTGCTTTAGAAAGCTAAAAAAAAAAGAACGACATCAATTTAATTGCGATAAATCCAGACAATTGCGTTGGTGAAATCAAAATTAATTGCGGAATAATTCAGCCAACTCTGTTGGTGAAACTAACGTAGTAGTGGGTTAAACAACAATAAAACTTTGTTAATTAGTGGAGCTTCAGTACACCGAAAACCACAGTCGCGCTTGGAAGTCTCAATCGGAGAAACTGCGCTGCATTCCGATTCTGGCGAATGAATTGCTAATTCATTATCTACAGTAGTCTGGAGGCAGGCAGTCGGAGATATCTAACAAGTCGGGAAGGGAATAAATCGGCAGAATGACGCGCTCAGACACGGAGGCCTTGGTGAGCGACGTGGAGGCTGGCGATGATGCGGCGCCAAGCATTCTGGACGCCTCTACTACAGTCAGCAGCGAGCAGGTGGACCCTTCTCCAGTGCCCCCGCCTCATGACTACAGCAGCTATCGATGGTTCATCTTAGAGCCCGCAGTTTTTCTCATCTTCTTTGCTAGATATCTAATTGGTATGACGAGCGAAGGGAGCTTCTGGATTCTGTGCACTAATTCAATTATTTCTCTGTCTGTTTTAGGGGCGGTTTATCAAAATCAGATCCTCTACCAGACCTGCATCACCATCGAGAAATTTAATGCCACGCAATGTGATCCGTTGCTGGGCATCGATCGCGCATCGGACGCGGATAAAGTAAGTGAATAATTCCGACCCGTAAAACCAAATACTACATATCACACTGCTTTGGTATCTGTACTTGGTGTTTGTTGTTTATGCCGTGTCTGGTTTTTGCTTGAAATGTTTTTATCTCGGAACGAATTGTTTTTGCGTTCTGTGGGGCGTTTCGGATTTGTGATATGTATAATAACGATCACAAAAATAGCACTGGCAAGAAGAGGTTTTTTAAAATGTGTATTTATTTAATTATTAAATATTGGGTTTCTTAAAACGGAGATCGAAAACATTAGAAGCAACTAAATTTTATCGTGGAGTCTACCAATTAAAATCATACATTGCCCTTAAACATCCAATATATTCACAATTTTACAAATATTTTACAATTTAAAATCATACATTGCCCTTAAACATCCAATATATTCACAATTTTACAAACATTCTTAATGCTTCTACTATAACCGCTGCTGTAAGCCTCAAAGTGCATACATTGTTCTAATACGCGACCCACTTATTCATATTATCGCAGCATCCGACGTGACAAAGCAAAATCGATGTAATAAATCGGTAATTAATCTAATGCAAAATTTCATTGTTTGGAGCTAAAAGATAAGGAATTAAGGACGGCATTCAAGGCTTATCAACTGGAAAAAACCAAAGTAAACAAAAAACCTTTATGACTAAATGTCGAATGAGTATCGAACTCAAGCAAAGCGGTTAATTTATAAATGTGTATATGTAGATATTTAAGCTATGCCATTATGAGTCATGCAAAACAGTTGCGCTTAACAGTTGTCCATTGTTCTAAAGTGAACTTCTGTTTTTCAGGAAGTAGAGGTGATAGTACAAACGTATTCGGCGAATATCATGATGACAACCTCTTTACTTGAGAGCATAATACCAGCCTTTGCGAGTCTTTTCCTGGGTCCCTGGTCTGACAAGTTCGGAAGGAGACCCATTCTCCTGACAACTTTTACGGGTTGGTAATAGTTCAGCTTTCTAAGACCAATTACTGAATACAATAATTGTTTTTAAAGGCTACCTCACTGGCGCGCTCATACTGATAGTTATCACATATGTAACTATGTCCACAAATATTAGCCCATGGTGGTTCCTGCTATCCTCAGTTCCTTCGGTCCTAAGCGGCGGAACTTGCGCCTTAATTACAGGGATCTATTGCTATATATCCGATGTGGCAAAGGAACGAAAGAAGGCTTTAAGGTGGGTAAAGAATTTTTAAAAGTAATCCAGTAACTTATTTTCACTTCTATATTATATAGAATGGTACTCAATGAGGCATCCCTTTGCGCTGGAATGATGATGGGCAATGTGGCCAGCGGTTACATCTATGCTGCCACAAATGCCTTGGTCTTATTTTCCATTGCTGGTACCCTGATGACGCTAGCTTTGCTGTACGTATTTTTCCTTGTGCCCGAGAGTTTAAGTCCAGGAGATATACATACAGGGGTAGGTGGCTTCTTTATCTAGCACCAAAACAATAACGAACTTCTTAATGCCTATTTCTAGTCGCGAATTCGTGAGTTCTTCCGTTTTGATTTGGTCAAGGATCTGGTTCGCACCTGCTTCAAAAGGCGACCCAACTTTGATCGCGCTATTATCTGGCTTACTATGATTGCCCTTACGATAGCCATATTCGATATGGGTAACTAAATGCAAGCAGTAGAGCTCTTAACAAATATAATGCAACTTTTGGTTTCAGAGGGTGAGGGCACTGTAAACTATATGTTCATGCAGGAAAAGTTCAACTGGAACATCAAGGACTTCAGCCTGTTCAACGCCTCCCGCATCGTTATACAGATTGTGGGCAGTATTGTGGGCATGGTGGTTCTACGCCGCGTCCTGAAGATGTCCATCGTATCCATGGCAATGCTTTCCCTGGCCTGCTGCGTCCTGGAAAGCACGGTAAGAGCCACAGCCGTTTACTGGCAGGAGTTGTACCTGGGCATGACGCTAGGAATGATGAGGGGTGTCATGGGTCCTATGTGCCGCGCAATTCTCTCGCATGTTGCGCCCGCCACGGAAGTTGGTAAGTGAATTACAGCAATTAGCGGAGCGTGTGCGCACGATTAACTAAAACAATCCCAAACAATTTAGGTAAGATTTTCGCTCTGACCACTTCGATGGAATCAGTTTCTCCACTGGGAGCTGCTCCTCTGTACACTACCGTCTATAAGGCAACGTTGCAATATTATCCCGGAGCCTTTAACTTTATTAGTGCGGCTCTATACTTTGTATGCTACATTCTGATAGCGTAAGTATTTATTTTACATTTTTAACGGCTCAATGAATATAAATAATTGTTCTTAATTGTTATTACAGCGTTATTTTCGGCATCCAGAAATCGATGGGCAGCAGCAGTATCTATCAAGCTATAGGCAGTTAACCAGCCACCCAGCGACCCGTTTAGCTGAATGTATCTCATAAATTAAACTCCTCCTAAAAGTGCTGGAAAAAGCTCTCATTCTGAACGATTAGAAACTATTTTTGTAAATTAATCTAGTGTTTGTACTCCATTTATTTTGCAAGTATTACTATGATTTTTATCTGTGTGCATGTATTTGCTATCTGGACTCTGTTTTGCATGTGCAAACATTGAAAAGTTAAGAAGTTTCGACTGTATGCAGTGTGACAATAAACTGTAAATACACCAAATTATCAATACCATTCAGGGTAAATCTTATAGTGCGTCGATTGGCGTGGGACTTTCGAGGGGGAGCAGTTCGAGCGGGTTCAGATAGGGCGCAGCAAACGGTTTTGTGTGCTCGAATTGGCAATCGCCGCTCGCCTTGTTTGTTTACGTCGTGAATTTCAGCTGCTCCCAGCAGTTAGTGTAGCACTTGAGTCCGGCGCGCGCGGATGTTTTCCACTGTTCCCGCTACGATATAGATATATTTCTTGGCTGAATGAATTGCTAATTCCTTTGTCTACACGATAATTGCTGCGATCACTTTGTTAGAAAAGGTGCACGATAAGGCCGTGACCTTCGCTTAAGCAGAATGCCGCGAGATGATGAGGAGCCAATTATTGGCAGTGATGACGAGGCGCTGGAAACCGGAGTGGTTGCCCCACCCACAAATAGAATTTTCGGAAGATGGCTCAAGCGACCCCGTTCGTTGATTCTAGAGCCCGCCGTTTTTCTGGTTTTCTTTGGCAGATTCCTAACAGGTGTGTATGAATAGCAGCGCATTTGTTGTGGGCGTCTAAAAATCAGATTGTGCTTCCACCAGATGCGGTCTATCAGAACCAGATACTCTACCAAACCTGCGTCACGGTCATGAAATATAATGCCACTGAATGCGAGCCATTTCTCGGTACGGATCGTGCATCCGATGAAGTTAAGGCAAGTTAAACTATTCGCCACTGGGGCGTATACGTAATTTTATTCATTAATGCATGAGATTTCAGAGATTCAGACGAACACACAGCTGGTTAGCAATTACATAAATTATATGGGTGTATTGAGACTTTATTGTTAAAGAATTAGCAGTCATTGTAGCGAAATAATATATTTAATTTTAAAACGTTTAAGGTATAGATTTTAAGCTAAGTAAACTATACATGTTTTTGTAACTGATAGTTTTAATATGAAGGCCTTTTGTCCCACCTGTTTCTTCTTATCAGTTGACCAAAACAAAAGAAAACCCGAATTGTTTATGACTAATGGGTCGTCTTATCACAAAAAGCTATCGACCACAGTATACAAATCGGGTATATGTACATAGATATTTTGACATGCATGTGTGGAGATAGTTAAGCCGTGCCAAATGCTCCATCCCACATGGTGAGTCACGGAAACGTGACGACAACTGTTCGGCCTTATCAGCATAATAGAATCCCCTGACAAACAGAGTTCCCATTTTGCAGAAGATCGAGGGCCAAGTTCAGGAGTATGCGTCTACTATCACGATGATAAGCTCAATGCTCGAGAGCACCGTTCCCGCAATAGTAAGCCTCTTCCTGGGACCCTGGTCGGATAAATTCGGCAGACGGCCCATCCTGCTGTCCACATTTTCAGGTGAGAACAGATCCGCTAGATATCCGTAAGAAATATCTTATGAATATATTCTCCTACAGGCTTCTTTGTAAGTGCCATTATTCTGGTAGTTCTTACTCAAATAACGACGGCCACCAATATCAGTCCCTGGTGGTTCCTGCTTTCCTCTGTGCCCTCGGTGTTCAGTGGAGGTACTTGCGCCCTCATCACCATCCTGTACTGCCATGTATCCGATGTGGCCACCGAGGAGAAGAGAGCCATGAGGTGAGTGAAAGGATAATCTAATTATAAGTATTTTTTAGCAAGCCAATAGGATTTAATATTTTGTCATTGACGACACTCATTAAATAAAAACCAAACCCATAAAAAATAATGTAAAAACGCCCGCCCCAAAGTTATACATTAGATTTAAGTTAAGAAGCTTGTTTTTAATGTAACCCTTTGTTTTTTTACAATACTTATGACTGCACTTTTAGTTAGAATGTTGATTATGTTGCCCTTTGTTTTGTTACCTTACTTATGACTGAATGGTACTTTTATTTAGAATGGTCACCATGGAAGCTGCACTGGGTCTGGGTATGATGGCTGGAGGTGTGGCTAGTGGTTACCTCTACGCCGCCACTGGTGCGTCAACTCTGTTCATCTTGGTGGGCTCTATTATCTCAATAGCGCTAATCTACGTCTACTTCTTTGTGCCGGAGAGTCTTAAGTCTGAAGATTTGCAAACTGGGGTAAGCATATTATATACGAATATCTCTTAACTATTGCTTAATTATGGAATTTTACTCTTTAGTCCCGCATTCGCGAGTTCTTCCGTTTGGATTTGGTAAAGGTCCTCGTAAGGACCTGCATTAAGAAACGAGAGAACTACGATCGCGCAATTATCTGGTTTGTGATGATGTCACTGACCTTGTGTATTTTTGCTATGGGTGAGTTAGCTGATACTGATTTCCTCCAGTCCAGAAACTGATTGTTGGTTCGACTTTTCAGAGGGCGAGAACACTGTAAACTACATGTTCATGCGGAAGCAGTTTGACTACACAGTCCAGGATTACAGTGTGTTCAATGCGGCGAGGGTCGTCATACAGGTTGTGGGCAGTACAATTGCCATGATCCTGCTTCGCCGCCTCCTGGGATTGTCCACCATCATGATGACGCTCCTGGCCTTCGCCTGCTGTGTCCTCGAGAGCACGGTTAGAGCCACGGCCGTATATAGAAGCGAGATGTACCTGGCCTTGATTGTGGGCATGATGCGAGGCGTTATGTCGCCCATGTGCAAGGCCATCCTGTCGCACGTGACTCCCAGCTCGGAATTGGGTTAGTCAAAAAAATTCTATGGTCCTAATAGAAACTAATCGCTTTATTTTCATAGGTAAAATCTTCTCCCTGACCACTTCACTCCAGTCCATCTCACCTTTGGGAGCTGCACCACTTTATACGACCGTGTACCAGGCTACGGTTAACTTTTATCCGGGTCTCTTCAACTTCATCAGTGTAGGACTTTACTTTATGTGTTACTGTATGTCGGCGTAAGTACCTATAAATAATTGCAAAGGTTGCATTTAATTTTACCAAATCCACCTTGCAGCACCGTCTTCGGGATTCAAAAATCTATGGGCAGCAACAGCATTTACCAAGCCATAGGAAGTTGACCTAATTTAAATAGTTATACTAATTGGAAATTAATCTAGACAATCACAACCATTCATAAGCCAGTGAATCAAGAAGTAAATCAATCCCTGCATAAGTATTATTATATGTATTTGCTATTCCAATAATGCTAAGCCTAGCCAAGTGTAAATAGCAAGCTTTTGGGACTTGTTAGCATTGCCATACAACATTCACCAAAGATTAAGCGCTAATATATGTGTAGTATAAAATGTTAACTTTTTTATTTTTAACTTTAATCTTTTGAATTATGATTATTCCGATGTATTCAGGTTCAATACAATTCTATAATTTACTCTTAATGCTTTTAATTCCAAAGGAATCCTGCTTCATTCATCTTTTAAAAGATGATAACTCCTATAAGCATCCCAATTATTCATGAACATACATACGTATGGCTTAAGAGTATTTAAAAAACAGAAGGTACTTCATAAAAGATAAGAAATTTGACCCACTTCTCTTTGCTGGTGCTTTTATAGAAAAATTACTTCACACGTTTTGTAGATAAAAATGATCTGGTTGTTCTAGATCGTGGTTTGCCAAATGTTAATTCGACATCATAAAGAAGGTAAGTGTGCTGTAATGGTCTGGAATGCTAGGTCTGACCAACTTTTTTTCCGTCACTGCCATATTTAGTAGGTTATTATTTCATTATTAAACCCATTTCAATGTCTAGCAGTTTGGGTTTGAGAACGATTCAGTGACTTTCAATGGCCTATTGCGACAATTGTCACGTACCAGAGAAGTATCGCTACTTGCGATCAATATTATGTGCTTATATTTTGAATTATTCAATGATTTTAATAAGAGCAATGACTGCAATTAGAGGTTTTTGGAAATGACCTACACTCGGGAGCCATTGAAATTAAACGGTAACACAGGCAGGAATATAATTAGATTACCCGGTGTTCGTTTGGAGATGAATTAGCACCGTTCCTTTGCCAGTAATAAAAACAAATATTTTTTAAGCAGAAATGCGTTTAATTAAAGAAAGCAAATACTATATTAAGTCGGTTAAAGCTATTAAGGGTAGGAAGCTCTCTTAGTTAGTGACCCCGATACTTGCAATGATTGTAGTTTTTTATCTACTACAGTAACTTTATTAATACCGTCAAATTAAATGGAAGATAAGAAAATAAGAGAATATCAACGCAGATACGTACATACCTGGACCATCTCTTAAATAAAATTAAAAGTTATTTTGTGAATCATAACAATTTAATTGTCTAGGATAGTATAGGATTCTTAATAATATCTTAAAATGTAGTCAAAGAACTTAAACATATTCAAATAAATAAACAAGTCAAGGAAGATCCATTCGCTTAACCGATGAGCGATGATGATTCCCCACAGTTAACCGCTTGTTTTCCGGATTTGCATCTTTAAATTCGCTCCACTTGTAAATGTTTATTGATTGGTTGGGGTGATCACATGTTAATTTGGCCACAGATCCGCTGTCGGCGCCTCACTTCAGAACCTTGGCGTAGTGCTGCTTGTGCCGGTACTTGATCCGCAAGACGTATCTGCAGGGGGAGAATGGGGGGAATGTGTGATCAATTAGCGTGTTCGGAGAGGGGGTTTCCTCGTCCCATTCCCAATCCCATGGCGGATTCGGGGCGAATCAGCTCACCCGATAAACACGAACGAGAGCAGGTACAGGAACGAGCTGATGAAGTTGAACAGACCCGGGTACGTGGTGAGCGACCGCTTATAGATGAAGGTGTACAGGGGGGCCGCCACTTTAATTAGCAGTAAAATAGTCAGTAATCGGATAAACAATCAAACGCCACTAGACTTTGCTTACCAAACGGTGCGAACGACTGCAACACGTTCTTGATGGAGAAAATCTTGCCTGCGGAAAGGGAAAGGTAAAATTATATTAGTTTGGTTTAAGCAAACACCTGCTGGCGTAGGTACATTTATACTTTGACGCATGTTTACTCACCGAGATCCGAGGGAGGTACTATATTCGAGACTATAGTGCGACACATGGGGCCTGAGATGGAGCGAAAGACGCCCAGGGTAACGGAGAGGTACATGTGCCACGGCATCGTGGCAAAACCCTTGGCCAGGTTGTTCAGGATCTCCGAAAAGAAGGCGAGCAGGGCCAAGGTCACAACCGACAGGCGGAAGACCTAAATGATACAGATTGTTCGAATGAGTATCTGTCAGGGCCCCACGATGGGCGCCAACTATAACACTAACCTTTCGCAGGATCAGGAATCCGATGAGTGCGCCAATCATGGGAACCAGATGGCTGACCGTCTCGAAGAACGTGTAATCCCGCACCGTCCAGTGGAATTTCTCGCGCACAAACAGGTACATCACAGTCATCACGCCATCTAAACGCGATCAATTACATAAGCTTCGGAATTAATGGAAAGATCGTGTCGAGACTCACCAAAGACGAAGATGGACAGGAACATGGCCAGGGTGACAAGCCAGATGATGGCGCGCGCGTGATGATCGCGCTGTTTGAAACAGGTGCTAAGCATGTCTTTGATGTGGACCATACTGAACAGGCCCGCCTTCTTGATCCGCTCCTCCTCCGCCTCCATGCGCTTGCGCTCCTCGGCCTTTTGGGGCAGCCGCTCCACGTACTTGGCCAGCAGGTCGTCGTCGAAGCTCATCGCTGGAGTCGCCGGTGTGGGCAGTTCCATCCGCTTCTCCTTCTCCGGCTCATTATTGGACATAAAGTTGGGCGGACAGTCAATGGCTACACGGTCCAATTGCAGGTCACAGGCGGTCATCGGCACATCCTTCTCCTTGGAATCCTTCTCCCCATTCGCGGTGATCGCTGTCTTGGTTTCCTGCGACTTACGATAGTGCAGGCTCTCCGGCACAAAGAAGATGATGAAGAGCGTGGCGAAGGTCACGATGCAACCGGAAAGACCAATGGTGGCCGCCGCTCCCACTGCCGCGTACACGAAGCTGGACAGCAGAGATCCACTGGTCAGGCCGATGAAGAACAGCGACTCCATGAAGATCATGCGGTAAGGTCGCGACTTGCAGTCCGTGATGTCCGAGATGAAGCAGAAGGCGGCCACCGAGAAGACGCAATTCCCGCCGAGCAGTGAGTGCGGTACTGTTGCCAGGATGTACCACCATGGATTGACCACGTAATAGCTGGACAGCTCACAAATGGCGGCCATCATCAGGAAAGAGGCGGAAAATCCTGCGGCAAAAAGGGGTTAGTCAAAATATATAATACAATCCTTATAATAAAAATCATATGGGAAAACCACTTTTAAATCCTTATTAAATGTTTCTGTTTACCCAATTTAATCCCTAGTTAAACAGACCATTTGACAAATTAGGCACATTTTATAATTACACTTTGATCTTGTCTTTATAAACATTTTTTACCTCAAATAAACTCAGGTGTCGAAGTTTTAACTATGCCGAAAACGGAAGTTTAAATTATATTCGACATCAAGTAACAAAATTTAGTACCAATGCAATGACTTAAAGTTACGAAATGTTAACTTGGAAAAGTTGGTATTTACATTACGGCCTTACTATATTACGCTTGCTTTAAGTATTCATTTGTAATAAATTCATAAGCTTTAATGATACGGTAGTACACAATTATGCGGAATCACACCTATCATAGAAACAATGAGCAGGGGCTTGCGACCGTAGTGATCCGACCAGGAACCAATGAACAGGCCGCAGAAGGCCGGAACGATGCTCTCCAGGAGGGTGCGGGTTAGGAACAGATTGGCCACATACGGCTGGAGCTCCGTTTCAATGGCCTGTAAAGCGGAGTAAGGACAGTTCGGGTTAGGATGATTCAAACCGACAACCTTTTGGAACCCACATTTATCTCGGCACTGGCGTTCTTCACATCCAGCTGCTTGCAGTCGGACTCATTGTAGTGGAAGATGACCGTGCACGTCTGGTATATGACCTGGTTGCGTTGAATGGTTCCTGGATGGTGCCAGATGGTAAATAGATGCTAGAGAGAGGATTCGGAGCCGGGCCACTCACCCGATAGCGTGTGCGAGAACAGCAACATGAACACAACCGGTTCCACGTAGAACATATGAAACACCTTTTGCCATTGCAGATTGCGGAGCTTTTCCAGCGTAAACGCATTCGAGGCCTTCTCAACCATGGTGTTATTCGGTTATGGACAAATTCTTGAACCCAATTCAATGTCTAGCCAAGTGGTTTTTGGGGCCTTTGGTCTTGGCAGTCTCTCAGTGGCACATTGCAACACCTGTCACGTAACCGCGATGGGAGAAAAGTCCCTGGTGCCCGGCACTTCCGACCAGATTTATGGGTTACTAATGTCTAATTCGATTATTATTCAAGCACTTGATTGCCGCGATAGCCGGGGAACACGAAACCAAAATAAACATCCAATCCGGCGGCAACGACACACGGTTCGCAATTAGAGTTTCGTTCTCGAAATGAGCGGCTACCGCGAAATCCACGGGCTTATATAGTGGAGCTCTCGTCGGTGGCAGAATCGGCAACAGGTATTCAGCAGATGTATATATCAGCTATTCAATCACACTGGGAAACAGTTGTTCATCTAGGGCCGCATCCATTCCAGCGGATAGCTTTGCTAGATTCACGTGAAATTGCATTCCCCAATGGAAAATGTGTTGTTTGCCCTGCCAACCACATTCGTTCCATTCAATTCAATTTGATTTCGGCTAAATGCCATTTCACTGGCGGGATCGGCTTAAATTAGATTTGGGCTTCACTACCAACTTCAGCCACTATTTATCAGAGAAACGTGAGAAACGCAGTCCGAAGTCTAAATCTCCTATTTGTTTTCTTTTTACTGTCGATTCATTGTAGCTTGCTTATTTTTGGATCATGCAAATGAGTAGCACGAGCCAGACCCATGGGAGCTGGGACTCAAAAGTTTAGTAATCCTACAGATGAACCAAAAATATTAACACACTTTTCCATGATAAATATGCTAAGAATACATTTTTGTAGCTTTTTCTTTACCCCTTAATTCCCTATTACTGGCTATAACGGTTTTATACTGAGTTATTATAATATTTATTTATATATTTACACCAATTACTATCAATAAATTAAAATACAAATCTCGAAACTTAATTTCAGGCATTATATAACGCAAATTAAAAACTATTGGATTTCACAAAGCCAGAGATCGCACAAAATCGCCATAGTTATAATTTTATTTACTTTCGATAATTATTTTATATTAGATTTAATTGGCCTGGTGACAATTCATGCGATATGGTCTGATACAATCCATGTAGAATTCCAGGGATTTCGTTCTGCTCTGTTGGGGCAATAAATTTGTGCGTAAACCGAGCTTCATTCGGTTTTTTGATCGATCTTGATCAAGGGTGTAAAAAACTGGGGACTAATTTAAAATTAGCAAGTGGAATTAGCATTTGCTCAAATCTGGAGTTAGCGCCAATTATTGGGCATACAAACGTATGTACATTCTTAATATTTTTATAGATATTCCGTAAGAGCTGTCAAGTGACTGCGCACACGCCATAGCTTTGCCAGCAGTAATAACCCATATTTTTGTTAATGAGAAAATATTTTGAGTTTTGTAATTAAACAATGTTTTCCCAAAGGAAGGGCGAGTGAGATCTACAGTAGAGGGTCCAAAACAATAATTCCTCAGTCGTACTGAGCAACAATTAGTATGGAAATAAGTGCGAAATGATGTGTGGATTTTGGGTTAGGAGGTAGCAGTTCACCTGTGTAACTGATATGCCAAACTTTGGCATGACTGGCACTTTCTTTCTTTTCTTTCTTGGAATCACTTAAAAACCGGCTCATAGTACACCTGATTTCTCGCCTTCTTGTGCCAAACCATTCTGAAATATTGCTATTAACTCAACAACCAATCGCATATGGGTCACAACAACTTACCCCAGCAGAATAATAGCTATGCCAAAAAGAGAGGCGCTAAACACATTGAAAATCCCCGGATCACTGTTCAGAGTCCGGGTATAGATCGCAACATATAGAGTGGACGATATGAGAGGGGCGAGGGCTTGTAAGACACCAACCAAGGCGAAGACTTTACCTGGAATTGGAAACCACAGATAGGGGTAAAGAACACGAAGGTACTTAATCTGTACTTACCCCGCTCATCAGCCGGCAGTAGGTTGATAATCATAGTGCGACACATGGGATTCACAAGGGATTTGAACACGCCCAGCCCAATGGCCACATAGATCTGCCAGCTGACCAAGGCGAAGGCCTTCATCAGGCTGCTGGAAAAGTGGCTCAACAGGGATACCAAGGCCAGCCACAGAACCGCCGATTTGGTGCACTGTCCAGCGCGGAGATGAGTTAAATTAGTAAATATCCATTTGGATCCCCCAAAACGAACTCACCTTCCTCAGGGACCAAATGAAGAGCACTCCTCCGGAACCGGCCACTGCGGGAACCAGAATGCTGACCGTCTCGTACTCGGTAAACTGCTTCACGGTCCAATGGAACTTGATCCTCATAAACTTATAAAACACAGAATTGCTACCATCTGGAGATAGGGGATTTACGGAGAAAAAATGTACCTTAATGGGGGGTTTTATGAACCAATACCATAGATTATATTATATTTTGTATTTTATAATCTTATCCATTACGTATTGGTATACATTTTAATAATTGATATCATGTGCAAGTGTTTTAATTATAATGTTGGTGAACCGGTTTCAGGGCTTTCAGTTCATTTGAAATAAATATACATATTATGCTCACCTTCAATTTAACCATTTATTAATATTTATTGAACGGTGGTTGAATTTTAAATATATATATTTTTGGGACTCACCTGAGACAAATGCGGTAAGCAGTAGCACCACCATAATGGTAAGCAAAATAAAGCGATTCTTATGCTCCCGGGGCTTCGTGCAGGTTTTCCATAAATTCTTTAACAGAGAGACGACACTTGTGCCACTCGGTGATGTGGATAATGTTCGATTCTCAATAGGCAAACTCTCTGGAAGAAGGATCGTCATAAGGAAGAGGGCCGTAAAAATAGAAATTGCTGAGATGCTGAACACGATATAGGAATCGGTGGCTTCGTAGGCGAAACCGGATCCAAAGCTTCCCAGGAGCAGGCCCACATAAATGGCCAGTTCATAGGCAATCATCCTAATGATTTCAAAATATTATTATCAATGTGATTCCATTATTTTTTTTGGACTTAGCACCTGTATGAACGAACTTTGCCTACGGAGACATCGCCAATGAAGCAAACAGCGGCCACGGAATAGGTGACACTGCTTCCCAAGCAGGAGAGTGGTACGATGGATAGCACATACCACCAGGGACTGACCAGGCCGTGGGTCTGCATGGCCCCATAGGCGATCGCGGCTGAGATCAGATACTGCAGGCCGTAGCCTGCTTATTGGATTAATTGAATTCGGGTGATAAGGCAAAGGATCACACCCACCCACAAATGAGCACATGAGCAGAGGCTTGCGCCCATAGCGATCCGCCCAGGCTCCGGCGAAGAGTCCACAGAAAGCCGGGATGAAGCATTCCACTATCCTCATGGCCAGAGTCACATTGGCTGCATATGGTTGCACTTGCTCCTCAATTCTCTGGGAAACAAAGAATTGATGTACATACTTTGTGATACCACAAATATAATATCTCAACCTTTGTCTCATTCGTGGCATTCTTGGTACCCAACAGACGGCAAACGCTATCCGGATAACCGAAACCCGCTGTGCAGCTTTGGTAGATGACTTCATTCTTCAAGACGGTTGCTAAAATCCGGGGAAGAACCTATAAATTAATGATCAGGCCTAACTAAGATTATCTTAATTGACTTACAAGAGAAATTGTAGGCAAATAGCAGAATGAGAATGAAGGGCTCGAGTAGATAAATACGCAGGGATTGGGGGCTTGAAGTTGGTGGATCTCCCGGAAGTTCGGTTTCCGCTATAATGGACGGCACTACGGAACTGATGCTTCCGTCGAAGCTCTCCTCACTACTGATGCTGCCAGTTTCAGGATCCTTCTCCCGGGATGGCTGGGGCTTAGCCACCAGATTTTCGTGGGCGTGAGGTTCCTCGTTCATCTCTGTAATTCAACTGAGTCTTAAAATTGATTCACTGCCTTTGACGAACTTGGACACGATTTCAGATAAAGAGACGGAATATGTGTGGGAGCTGCTCTCTTTTCTGGGACTTCCACTCAAATTCCATTTGGATAAAGTATACGCTCCTTATGTGACTTCTTCCTATCTCAAAACCCATTAAAGACTGTATATAACTTATATTCGATTAAAGCATCTCGCCTTTTCCTCCCTTAAAGTGAATATTAAATGTATTATGCAAAATTTTGATAATGATGATGATCACTTTACATTGCCAATATCGGGCGGTCACTGTATCTTTGTTGTGATCCCCAAACGTGAGTCAGTTTTGAACTTGGCAGTTTCTCTTAGGGACTTTTTTTATTTACATGACGTGCCTTATCTGAAAAAATAAAATAAACACTCATTAATATGCATGTTGTGAGTCGAGTGGCAACTTAGCTTAGTTAATTAATGATTAGTGCAAAAAGAAGACTGTATAAAATAAACGTTTAATTTGCTTACGTTTGCTTCTGCCCTAATAAACAATCATTTCTTAATATTTTAAAATAAATTCATTTATTTTAATTGTTTTTTATTTTTCTTCTTCTAAAAAATTCAAATTTAACCGCACTCCTATCGAAAAATGGTCAATGTTTAAGTAATCGACCTTGACAAATCGATTTCGATTTTTGAGATTAAAAAATAAATAAAGCGCGAAATGGATCTTCAGCTCAAGGTTCTGCAAACTCCTACGGGAAAACAGCTTTCAGAATACCAGCTAAATTTGCTCACCAAAAACAAAATAGGGTCCGTGCTCGATTTTTATGAGGCTGATGAGGAAAAACTCCGCGATATGCTGGCCATTAAGGTGGAATCCGTGCGGGATCTGAAGAAGGAATTGTCCCTGCTGCCAAACGATTCCGTTGAGGATACCACTCCGGAAGTGGAATACGGCACGGGCATGGAAGAGTGAGTCATTGTAAGACCATCCAAAGATTATTATTATATTTTTGAACCCAACCCAGGTTGGACAAGCTGCTGGACTCTGTGGGACAGCCCTTCAAGCAGGGCAGGGTCTGGGAACTAAGTGGTCAGACAGGTGTGGGCAAGACCCAACTGGTGCATACCTTGGCGCTGAATTTCGTGTGGAAGCACAACCGGAAAGTTCTATTCATCGACACCAAGAGGGACTTCTCTTGCAAAAGAATACAGGACATGCTTCGGGCACGGAACTTGGATGAGGAAACCTGCCAAAGGGCCATGAAAGCCATCCAGGTGGTGCAGGCTTTAACAGCTCCGGATCTAATCGAAATTCTAAAGGCTTTCGATCAGCAACTGACCGCCAAGATCCAGGCTGCCATGCAAACTAAATTCGTGGTGATTGATTCCCTCGCAGCCTGCTATGTCCACTATCGCGGCAGGAGGATGCATTTGCTCAGGCAATCCCTGCTGGTGGAGCTGGCTTGCAAAATCCGGAAACTAGCTGTCCAGGGCGTCGCCTTTATTATCGGCAATGTGTCTTTCTTTGGAAAAGATACAGGTATGCACTTTATATGGTTTATTTATTAAATAATGGGATTAATAACTAATTACTACGTTATTCTAACAGATAATTGTAATGATGACGGCGAGGGCGATGGCAACAATGAGGGAAGGACGACGCGACAGCAGTTGGAGCCCATGCTGGGTGCCTACTGGAGCTCGGTGTGCACGCTAAGATTGTCGCTGGAACTGCCGGTGGATGATGACTCTGCCGATCAGGACGACGGCCTGCGTTTAGTGCACGTCATTTCGAACACCTATGGCCCCAAAGGTGGCCACTGTCTGCTGCGTATCACGCATGCCGGCGTTGTCTAGCGCCGGGCAAATGGATTCTGCGGGTTGTGTGAGGACTTGAAGGACTTCATGACCCGCTTGCCCGGCTCCAGCGCATCACCCAGTCCAGGACGCTTGCGCCTGTTGGAATGACCCGCTGTAGCCTCCTTGGCCACAGGCACTGGTTGATCTGGGACTGCATTCTTCTCCGTCGCTTCATCCACTGACAGGTCGGAATCGTGGGCATACTGGCAGCTGGTGCCAAAGCGACACCGACCCCTCCTGAAGTTCCAGCAAATCTTGCGGCCATTCTTCAACTGCAAATGCGCATCGTTGTTGACCATCTTCACGTGCCGCTCCAGGGAGGCGGTCTTGTGCAGCTCCGCCTCCAGGAAGGGATTGTTGAACACATCACCCTTGTTAGCTCCTTGGGCAAGAGCTTGGCTAGCACTGGGCAACTTAGGGGGAGGCTTCTCCTTCACCGGCGGAGCACTGTGGAGGAAAACTTATTAAATTCCCGGATCAGGTGACGGTATGAAGAAAGCTTACATATTGGTCTGCTCGTTCTCGGAGGATTGACTGCTGCTCTCCTCGTCGGATTCGGAGGAATCACTGTAATCTGCCACCAGCGACATTGTTTATTTTGTTTTCACAGCTGGAACGCACAATATCCACAAGAATGTGAAAAATCATCTAACGCGTGTTGCTGCTGCAAAAAAAAATACCGAAAATATATAATATTCATACCCTACATTACCTCATTCAATGAGTATTCGCACTTTTGGCAAATAAAGTTCTTGGTTTATAGTTTTGAATACGAAACTAATTTCAGTTCACTTTTTATTTCTTATTTCGTTTTACTCTTATAAAAAAATTGTTTTAAACGGACTTTTGACTGGAAACCAGTATATTTGAAATATCTTAAACACTTTTAATATTTTGTAACAATTAGAGATTAATTATTTTATAATGCATTTTAAAAACATTATTTAGTCACTCCTAAATCAACCTTCATTTTTAAACACTTGTTCTTCATTTGTAATGAATCGGCTTTATTCCATAATATGTATAATCACTTTATGCATGCTCTAGTTAGGTTGTTTACGCTTGGTGTATAAACTAATAACTAATTATTTATACAGATTTTTTTATAAATATAAAAAATAAAACTTTGATACATGTTAATAATATGTTGGCTAACGACAACCGCGCCTGCCTTTTCCACGCTACGTACAATTGGCTGCGAGTGTAAAAAATATGCAAAAGTTTAATACAATAATTGGGGAGAACCCGTGCAAGTCTGTGTCCGTTTCCATATGTCAGATTCCGTGGCAATCAAAGGCTCCGTGATAGCGTAATCAATTCAAGTGCCAGCTTAGGCTTTAGCCTTAGTCTGGCAGATAATAAGTCGCTAATCGATGGGTGGTCGGGCCGAAGGATCGTCGCGATCGATGGGCGGCGGTGAGGTGAGGACTTCCACGCTTTGCGCAGGACCCGCCGTCAGATAGCCAGCCGTGGGATTGACGCCTTAAAAAGGGAAATATTAAATAAATTCCGAATTCTTCTGGTATTTTTTACCAACCCGTTAGATAGCCACGTATGGTGGTGTCGGCAATGAACAAATCGTGGCGCTGATCCTTAAACTCGGCCCACACGGGATGCTTGAGCAAGATTTGCGTGACCCGATCGCCGTAGTTAAGATTGTGCGTCATGCCTTTCAGCGCCGCGACAATTTGCGCCTTGACCGCCGAAGGATTGTCCACGAACTCCAGTCGGCTGTCCAACAGTCCCAGCAAAAATGGTATAAGACCCACCTCCAGGGATTGACTTATCAGTGAGTCCTATTAAGAGAAGTCAGATGAAAAGCGTTCTATATTGGGAAACTTAAATTAATAATTGTAATAATCTTACATGCTGGTGCTTAAACAGTCGGCTTAGCGCCTCGCAGGCCTTCTCGATGCAATCTCTATTGTGCTCCATGCACTTCTTCAACGGAGCCACACACTCTGTCTGTGAGATGGCACTTACGCAGAACTAAAAAGCATTATAAATATATAAATCACATTACAACAAAATAGTTAATAGTTGCGGACCTCAGACAGCGAGAGCTGATGTAATACTGATAGCGTATTCTTTGGCTGCACCGAGAGCAGGTTGAACAGCTTCGGTATGTGCCCCAGCACTGGGATATCGTCCGAAAGGTTGGGCTGCGAGCGCAGGAGCTCTACAAGTGCCGTGGTGGAGAGGTCCAGCACATCCTGCTCGGAGGAGCTCTTGCCGATCTGTTCGACGACAAAGTCCAGGAGGTCGGAGAGGAACTGCTTGGGCTTGCGAAGCGTCCAGGCGGGATTGCTGACAAACAGTCGGAGGTAGACGCCGGCCACGACGATTTCGTTGGATACAATGTCCTTAAGTATTTCCGGATCCTTCCACACATGGCGGGGATTCGCCTTCTGCAACTGATAGAATCTGTGGAAAAAGCAGGTAATGTGAGAAAATATACAACTAAGCTTAAATCTTTCAGTTATTACCTTTCGCACGTCTCGGCCACAGCATCACAAACATTCGATCGCGTGCTGTCGTTCCAAATCAACTCCGGATGCTCATGGATAGACTCGAAGAGCTGAACAGATGTGGGCGGCGACTCCACCATAGCGTCGATGAACAAAGCTGGCAGGAATTTCGACACAGTGATCCGCACCTTGGGACCACTCAGACGGTCCGCCGTCATCTTAGCCAGAATACTGGCACACATCTCGCGGATCTGTGGATTACGCGAGTTGCAGAACATATCCAGCAGGTAGATGGTGGCGCCCTTGGCCTGGGCCTCCTTGATCATCTCTTGCACGTTCATCAGGCCAGATAGAGTCTCCAACACTTTCACTTGGCTTGCACGAAGCTCTGGGTCCTTGAGAGCCACCAGATAGTTGCCCAGGATTTCACAGGCTGCCACCTCCGAGACGCATTCCTTGTTGCGTGAAACCAAAGAAACCACCTCCAAGGCCACGGACTTAACAGTGGAGTTCTGCAAAACAGGAGGATAATTAATTGCTTTAGGGATTATTAAGTGAATGTCTTACATCGGGGAATATATTGTTAGCCAGAAAGCCGAAGATCATGTCGAAGTTCCCGATGCACTGGATCTCCACCTCGGCGTTTGACTTGATCACCGAGATTAATGCTTTGAGCACCATAGTAACATGCAACTCAAGCTTCCCATCGCTGCCGAAGTCGTATTTGCACTGCTGCAGGGCCAACTGCTGTTCCGTCTGGGCGTCTGTCTCTAGCTTCTTCCGGCTTTTGGATCGGTTGTACGCACTGAGCACTTCGTCAAAGGTGCTGCCCGTTTTGCCCGTCGCCGCCTGCTGCAGCTGAGGATGATTGGGTGCCAGCGTGGGAGTCAGGATGCCATCACTGCCCATTTTGGGAGCACCGATAACAGCAGGGGCAGCTGATGCCGGATTCTTTTTGTACTGCAGAAATTGAAAGGCGTGCTTTAGGTACTCCAGCAAATCCATGATGAAGAGTTTTGGGTGTGTAATGGGATGGGTTGGCATGTCGTTATAGATGCGTATGAATATACCGCCGATCTGCAGCTCGTCTCTGAAGGATGAAAAAAAAATTTTAGAGGAGTTCTCTGGGAGCGGCTTTCCAAGATCACTTACTTATGTGCATCGAACTCGAAGCTGGAGACTAGCTCGGAAAGCTGTGTAATGTCCTCGTGCGTCTCCTTGGCGGAGGCCGTACGCTGATGTTCGAGAAAATCCTTGAGCTGAGCGCGTGTGCCATTGTCCCAGATAAGGTAAGGATTGCGCGTGTTTGCCGTGAGCAACTTGAGAACATCGCTGTCGCGAGCCGTGGCCAACTGGTTGGCAATGTAACGGGTAAGCAGACGATCGAGCACCTGCTTGATCAGGGAGTTCTTCGCCTCCCCCGTCACAATGTATTTCTGCTGGATGGCACTGGGACTGCTCCTCGTTACCTGTTGTTGTTGCTCGCTATCGGTGGGCGTGGAGCTGGAGGTGTCACTGCTGCCGGAAGAGGAGTCTGGCTCCTTCTCCTTGCCGGTAGTGATGGCCAACTGTTTACTTTGCAGCGGATTGTGGGCGTTCTGGGTGTATGTTGAACTTGATGGAGCGGTTACCGATGGCTTCGGCTTGATGGCTGGTGGCGGCTTGGCCGCTGGCGAATTAGCCTCGCTCCCCGTCACCGGTTTCTGACGTAACTCCATGCTGTAACCCGCTAGGGAAATGCACCCGAGGACGGCCATCTTCGCCAGGTTGTTGGCCAGCTGTTGCTGGTTGGACTTGTCGCTGACCTCCACACCACTCTCGTCTAGTGTGTAGTCATACTCAAATATGAATAGCAGCAAGGACCACAGGACTCCGTTTCGCGACAGTTGACATTGCAGGTCGTAGTTGTTGGCCGCCAGACTGGTCACCAGGCTCACTGAAAGCGTGTGCTTGAAATAGACAACGCGGCATACGTCCGACAGTAGCTGTGGCAGCTGAATGATCTTTTGCTTGCACTTCTCGAAGTTACAGGCCACTTCAAAGCAGCGTGTCACGTTCGAAATGACCTGATAGTGCAGTGACTCTGGCTTGGAGTCCACTCCAAGAATGGACACGCAGCGGGTGTAGGCCTCCAGCAGGGCCTCTATACCCTCTTCTCGACGTAGCTCTTCGGCATTTAAGGCGGAGCAGTGCACCGTGTGGTAACACAACTCAGAGGCAGCTGTTAGCAGTTGGGCCTCCTTTGAGAATAGTTCGTCATCACGAGTCTCCAGGCGAATGGTTTTAATGAGCTGTGGGTAGCCAGCGTATTTGTAGGGTCGCAAAACTATAATACAACAAATAATGAAGATAAAGGGACCATTTTTAAAATTTAGAAATCACTTACCATCCGGATAACGCTCGAAAAGAATACTCTGGGTGCGAAGTATAAGCACAATATTATTGGGATCTGGTCCACCCGAGCTCCACACATTTCGCGAGCAAAGGAACTCGTAAGCCTGATTTACTTTCTCGAATGTCTCGCGCCCATTGGGATTTTTGTCGGGGTGATATTGTTGGGCCAGCTTATAGTAGCTCTTGCGAATCATGGACTCGTCTGGCTTAGGAGTCTTGGTGAGGTTGATGCCCAGATCCTCATAAGCCTGCTGGATTGTCATCTGAGGAGGCTTTTTCTCCACCTCCTTGCGCCAGGCGTCGAGTGTGTGCTTTAGAAGTTGCACCGGATCCGAGATGGGCCAGTTGGGAAACTTTTGTGTGTCGCATAGGTGACGGAGATAGTAGATGTGACAAAACAACTCATTCTCCAGCTGCGGATAGCTAATCACTGGAATGGCCAAGTACGGATACCTTGCCATTGTATGGCCCCGGAGTCGTGGCGTAAAGTCCGCTATGTGGGCAGCGATCTTTTCTATTAGCAGACGTCGCATCTCCGAGCTCCAAATCACCTCCGGCGTGTCGAACTCGCCAAGGAAGATCTCCGCAAACTTCTCTGCGCTGTAGTTTTCCAGGAAACAGACCATAGCTTCGGGCAACAGTTGTCCTAGAATGCTGCGGTGCATGATACCGGATTGAGAGGTCTGTCAAGCAAAAGTAAATGAAATATTAGGTTGATTCAGTCATTGAATATTTTAAAACTTACCTCCTCGCTGCGGAATCCTTGCTTCATATGAGTCATCTTGAGGAATCTGGTTATAGGTAAAATGTTGCTCCCTGTGTACATGAGCATGAAGTAGAAGACTCCCGTGAGGTAGACCTTGGGCATCTCCGGATTGTCCTCCATAATCTGGTAAAGCAGCGTGGCCACGCGCTCCAGCAATCCGGGATCATGGGTAAGGCAAACTTGTACCACATGCGGTAGGCAGATGAATTCCGAAAGCTTTCGGGACAACTTCGGTCCTGGAATTAGCACTGCTACTCCATTCTGGGTGCGACTCGGGAAAAAGCTGGTGCACTTGATCAGTATGTCTAGAATCTTTGAGGAAAGCTCAGTCTCGTCGTAGAGCGGAGTGCCTTTGGCAATAAGACACCACTTTAGCTGCGGGATCTGCTGAAGAGATCGCCAGCCATCCATTCCGATAGCCCAGCAACGGGTCTTGGGTGTAATTAGTCCTTTCTGCCAGAGTTCCTTGAGCTCGGAGTAAGTGATGGGTCCCTGGCGCTCTGGCTTTTGGCCATCTTTCTCGATGTTGTAATACCAATCCTTCTCTTCATAGGCAGCCATATTCGGACCTGCTTCAATCACATTTGTTTTGGTATTGAGCTGGGCCCGTCCCTTGTGCAGATGGGCTAGAGTGATGAGATCCACCAGGCACTGCACATGATCGATGAGGGCTCGACTGTTGGATTTCTCCAGCACCAGACAAGAAATGAGGTTGATCAGTGCATCGCGCATGGATGGGGATAGACACTAAAAGCGTAACAAATATTAACACAACGCTTTAATCTAAAATCTTCTTCAAACCCACCCTATCGCTTAGCTGCAGAATGTACGACATATCGTTGAACTTGCCAATCTCCGCGTGATAACGGCGGTAGACCTTTGCCAAAGCCTGAAGAGAAAATACAGTCATCTGGTCATCATTTACGCGCTGACGACACAACACTCGCCGATACAAGGCATTGAATAGTTCAATCCTAAAATAATAATCGACTTGAGATCCATAATTAAGTGAACAGAAAACTGAACTCACGGATCCTTTACTAGATTCTGCGGCCAGTCGTCCTTCTCCAGTATCAACCGAATGTAGTAGTCCCCGATTTTGATCTCATCAGCCAGACATTGGTAGCCCACCTCGAATTCTTGATAATTCCAGGCCACAATCATTTGGCCGGCTAAGTCACGATCGTTGAGAAACTGTCGCAGTTCGTTCTCCAAGCACATACGCAATTCCTCGCGGGTCTGCAAAATAGTTATAAGAACTGCCTAATTGAATAACTAAATATTATATTAGGTACCTTGTGATTCCATATTAAATTTGGAAGGCTGTGATCTTTGGCAAAGTTGTAAAAGAAGTAAGGCAGATTCACAACGTCATCGGATGTCTTTTTCTTTTGGCGTCGATTACGTAGTACCACTGGACGATTCTTCAGAGCTTGAGCCGCTCCATCCTGCTTCTCAATGAGGTTCATTCCCCAATGCTTGATGCCTTGTAAATGCTTCTCTATCACATTCTTTCGAGTTTTGTTGGAATGTTGTATTGCAAATTTGAGATTGTCACGAAAATTAAGTTTGTCTTCCTCAATGTCCGACTCCGGAACAGAATCCTCCGACTCCAAGAAAGTCAACAGACCAGCGGGCTGGAAAAGTGAATGGAAATAACAATTATGGTCAGAGCTTGAAATGATAATAACTCACGAAAATGCGCTTGAACAGATCCATTGCTTCCTCGCTGTCCGTTAGCCACAGTCCTATTAAATGGCGCGACAACTGACGTTGCGTGGTCTGGGTGGGATCATTGGAGGGCGTGTACAGGGCCACCAGCAAGTGGCGGCACAGCGCCGCCTCATCCAGAGCTAAGGCCTGCATTTGCTGGGCCACTTGCAGTTCGCCCTCCTCAATGATGGCCCGCAGCACCAGGCCAGCTCCCTTCACGATCGCCAGCGAGGGGTGCTGAAACAGTTTGTACAAATAGCGACCACGATCTGCGACCAGCTCCAGCAGAATGTCGAACTGCTTGCCGTCTGTGGTCTCGCTGTAAGGCACACACAAGGCAAAGGTCATGAAGTCCAGCATGGCGGATAGCACCAGAGCACCACTGCCATGACTCTGAAATGTAAAAGAAATGGTTGTTAAACAAAAACACTTCAAAACATAATTTTGGCAATTACCACATGTGTTGTCCACATATTTAGCAATGTTTCAAGAAACGATTTGGATGACAAAATGGATGACTTATTCAGCTGCTCTTGCTTTAAATCGTGGTCAGAATTTACAGAATGCATTAGGGAGTTTATCATATCAATGGCAGAGTACGTCACAGCCAGATCCTTGCGCCGTAAAGCGGCCACTACCTTTGTACCGATGATCTCACGAAAGCTGAAAGGTATTCGAAATTTAAACTTTGATTCTTATATGGGATCAACACTCTTCACCCCGGGAGATTGGTAAAGGCTGCGTAGCCCACTTTGCTCGCCAGCAGACGCGTAAGGGCATGGAATATGGCCTCCAGTTCCAAGTTGCTTAGCTGGGCGGTGGGACTGTCCAGCTCTTTTTGGGCCAACGCCTGCAGAGCACTTAGGATGAGCTTATCTTTGTTCTCAGCAAACAAGCTCTGGAATTGCACATTATTTAGTATGATCAGCAAATAATTGTTACAAAAACCTACATCTTGGGTTACGCTGTAGTTAAGACCACTGTGAGGCACGTTGGCATTGAAACGCTCTAGAATCTCATATCGCTTTGAAGGGTTCTGGAAATTGTTGATGACCATGCGCATCAAGTTCGCCTCCGTCTCCTCGTCTACGGAGCTGTTCAGCGGCACATACCGTTTGCCACGCGGCGTGTTGCCAATACGGATGTGCACATCCTGATTGCCACTGGAGCGCACCGCATCCAGCACAGTGGCCAGCAACGAGTCCCGATCGTTGGTGCTGTAGCTGCGCACTATTCCATTTTTGTACTCGATGCTGAAGCGTTGCAGATTGTCTTTGTCTCGAACCAGAGCGAACACATCGGTGAGCGGACGCAGTGTGCATACGCTATAGGTCTGGGGATCCCTTTCCAGAAGAGTCACCTCTGTAAGGCAAAGGATGCGCTTCACCGGATCCGGATGGCGGGGCGTTATTTTATGCACTGAGAACTCGGTCGATGAGGTTTGAAACTGGTCACCGCTGGAAATTTAAAAAGAATTGTAAAGCCACAGCTTCGTTTCGGTACCCATCTTTAGAAGCTCACCTGAATTTGCCAAACCGCTGCCTCTCGAACTGCTCCAGAGTGATCTGACTTTTGAGTATTTTGGTTTCGATTCCCAAAAATTGCGCAGATCTTTGCGCAATGTTCTGCACGATTTCGTGGTGATTTAACGCCTTGAACAGATGCAAGCGGCTGAATCCTCCATAGGCCATAACGATTCCTCCCTCATAATCCGAGATTCCTGCTTAAAACGTGCGCAAACGTAAACAAATACCAGAAAAATGAGTGGGGAAAGCAACAAAAAAGAACAAAGCGTACACAGTGAATTAATATTGTGGCACATGGGGACAAAACAAGACACATTAATTGATGCAAGCAAGTCGAGTCTGTATAGCTACCTATTATTCCCTCTATGTCCTTGTACATATAGCTGGCAAGCACATCGTTGGTGGTTGGATCGAGCTGGTCCAGTGAGCAGGGCGTGACCTCCAGCACAGTGGGCAGGCTGATGCCTGACCAGTGGTACTTGTAAGCACTGAAGCGCTGTGGGCGTATATATTCGTAAGTTTGGTTTATTTATGCTGGTCATTATAAGTTTTTACGATTTATAATTTGAATCGAATTTGACATAGAAAATATCTGGTGAAAGTCCAGTTTTTATGTGATAAGAAGTTAAAAAGTGTTTTAATTATGCGCCAATAGCTAAAAGTTTCCTATGTTATAACTATTTTGTGAAAGTGACTGTTTTGTATTACTCAATTTGGTCCTAATGTCATTTTTTAATCAGATTCCTCGAAAAACAAAAAAAGAAGGGATTCAAGCCAACCTGAGCATTCTTGGGCTTGTCGGCAAACTCCTTGTGGTATTTCAATATCGAACTGAGTATGTCGTTGCGGTATTCCGACGACAATTTGATTGTATCCAGTTTCTTATCCTTCTTGATAGTCAGGACAAACTCATTGGGTATCTGAAAGGGAAATTTAGTTACTCAAGAGCTTATTTCAATCTTAAATACGCACATTTGAAGTCTTTGAGGGTGCTGCTGCAACGACGTCCGAGTAGGACCATCTGTTGGTCAGGTCGCACCTGTCCGGATTGTAAGTGGAGATGCCGGCTGTGCCGATGGATAGGATGCGCTTGTACTTGCCCTTCCAGGAGTGCTTGGTAACCAGGAAGCACTCCAGGTCGACGTTTTCCCTCGGCGGCAGCATCGTTTCTTGCGGCGAGTCGAACTGATTACCTTCCACCTAGTATTAGTCAGCAACTGAAAGTGCAAGATAAAGAGTGTGGGAATGGGAGTGGGAACCAGGGCAACAGCTTTTCACAACTGCCGTTTCAGGCACACAGATCATTCAGAGAGGTTTCCAAATATCCAATTGACTTGCCCCGACTCCATGGCCCTGATTAATTAAGTCGACTCTGGCACTTATCAGCAGAAGTGCCAGCGGAGCCCCAACAAAGACCAGAAAAGGGGAGTAAACGTGACGAGTGCGGAATGCTGCGGCCCCAAAAGCGCAGTCCATGGGATATCGAAATTTTGGCTGCTGCAACTTTCGCAGCGGCTTACCTTAAACATCTAACACATTTCGTCGCTTGGTCGATTGGTTATTTGTCCTACAATTTCCTGTTCGCAGATTTTTTGCAATAAACAATTTAGCAGTAAAGCAGCTACACAACACTAATAATTAGAGCTGCAAATATCGGTGGCAATCTTCTTGAACTATCGATGGTGGTTCCCCTTTCATCGATAGTGGCTAAACTTTTATTCGGGATATTCCCCAAACTGTTGAATTGATAATTCCATTTTTTTTGCAAAAGTCAGTTGTTTTAAACAAAATCCGAACATAAAAATAGTCATACTACAGAGTTTTCAGTGGTAATCCGTAGATTATTTGTTAATACATTAGATTAAAAAGAAAGAATAATTAAAACATTGGGAATTAAAAACTTATTTCAAACTTAATAGATTTTCCTGTAGAGTTTGAAACTATGCTACGTTAATCTCTCAATAAAAATTAAAAATAAAAAAGTAATGAGAATAGCCCAACTTTGATCAGAAACTGGTTCAATAATAATAGTGCAAGTCAAGTCTATCGATAGTTTAAGCACAAATATATCGCCGGTCGTGAAAAACTTTTTAACGGTTTTTGGCGGTAACAAAAAATTAAATAAAAATATGTAGCTGTTTTTTGTTAAAGCTAAGTGTATGGCTTCAAAAATGTTTAGTATTTATAAACTGACAAGGGTTAATAATATATATATATATTTTTGTTTTCATAAATCTAAACCACAATAGCCTGTCATACTGTGATTCTTCGTCATACGATTCGAAAGTCGTTAAAAAACTGGGTTTGTGGTTTAGTCATGACACAATCTTTTTAATATTTATTTTTTAAATTGACTAGCGGTCTATGTATAATTATTCAAACTTTTCGCGCTGGGACAGTAAATAACAAACAAATAAAAATAGATAGATACTTTCCTTTCTCCCTCGTTGGTCCTCCGTTTCCCGATAGCCAATAAAACACTACCGCTTTACTTAACTACCATTAAAAACTTTATTTTTTCATTTCGTATTGCATAAAACGTACGTATTGTTATCTAAATGCAAATAAAGATGGCAGAGTGTGTTTGCATGTGTGAGAGTAATAATTCCAAGATAAAACAATCTCGCCAGCAGAGGCAAATAAAAACAAGAACACGATTCGTATTTTACACAAATGTAGAATGCAATGATACGGATGCTGTACTATCTCCGGCTAATCCTCGCGGCTACGGGCGATAATAATGATAATAATAATGGGGCGTATGCGTAGGTAAGCTATGTGCCGCGATATAAATTCACGCAGTGTCCCAGATCCCGATGCTACAATGTGGAAGACCCGCAGACGAGTCTTATCGGGATTTACAAGCTGGGGCGTTAAAGATTAAGACAATCTGATGGATGGACGGGATGATGGGGATGCGGATGAGGCTAAGTCTTAGACAAATGTTACGTTGAAACCCTAAGCATAGTTATCGCTATCTTCTAACAACATGAACATGGAGGGGACGTAGGCACATTGCGTTTCTGTCTTAGAAAGTCGCTCTTGGACGCGCTCAGACTGGGAATGGTAATTGGAATGTATAGCAGATCGCCGGACCTCGGTCCCAGGTCAGCAGGAACACTTGTTCTTGGCATCCGATCCGGCTGCATCGGGCGAGCTTAAGTTGAACTTGTCGCCATCGGCCAGATCGGCAGATATCAGCTTATCGTTGATGAGTATCTGTCGGGTGAGTGGAGTCAGATTAGAGGGGCTTAGGCCACGGATTAGCACGGATTATCACCTTATTCACGAGGGCGCGGGCTGCCTCGTCGATGTTAATGTTCTCCTTGGCGGACGTCTCAAACCAGCCGGCAAATCCATTTTCCCTAACGTACTCATCCATCTTCTCGGGCTGCGTAATGATGCCCTGCTTCTCCTGATCGCACTGCAAAATCGAGAGATGTACAATCATTAGCTTAACTAATATCACAATTTTAGAATTGAAAAAAAAGGTTTGTTTTCTTTAGTATTGGTTCAGTTTTACATTAATCTGTTTAGCCATTAAACCAAATTTCTGAGGGTTCCTTTTAATATAAAGATTATGCTGTTATAATTCAGCATTGGTTATGATTAACAAATAAGGAAAATGATATTGAAATTATTCGAAAAGTTGAAAGCTTCAGATTTGATTCCTGCGATATTTGCACTCACTTTATTGGCCAGCAGGATGCACGGGATGGGACTGCCGTCCGGCAGCTGCACCTTGGAGTCCAGGTCCTCCTTCCACTTGCTGACGCAGTCAAAGGTCCCGCTGCGTGTCACATCGAAAACAATGAACGCCCCCACCGCCTCCTTGTAGTAGACCCGGGTCATGTTGCCGAACCTCTCCTGGCCGGCGATGTCCCAGAGCTGCAGGCGCACTATCGTGTTGGCGTCCCACTGGAGCACCTTTAGGGCGAAGTCCACGCCGATGGTGGCCCTGTAGTTCTGGCTGAAGAACTGGTGCACATAGCGCTTGATGAAGGACGTCTTCCCGGTTCCCAGTTCACCGATGACTAGAATCTTGTATAGATGCTCGCGCTTATCACTGGTGGACGTCATGATGGCCTGCAAGCAAGAATTGAAAAGGGTTTAGTTAGCACATCGCTTTATTGATTGGAATTAATTTAAGGAGATATACTTGTTACACCATATTGGGTTCTACCTTAGCACAAAATATGCATATATGAAAACTGAACTAATAACACCTGCAATTAATATACACATGTATCTTTTGGATATGAGAATAGAAAATAAGGGTCACAAGAAGTGAGCTTTTATAAATCACTAATTATAATAGCGATTGCTCTAAGTGGAATAAAGCAGACTTTTAGACTCGATAATAGTGATATTTAAAATTGCCAGAGATTCTAAAAACACCACTTTTATAAACTCTTTGTCGGGTATTAGTTACACCTCCTCTAGCTTGTCAATCCGCACTGAGATTTGCTGGTTAGTTGACGAGACCCCTTGGGCAATTGCCACCTTTCCTCCGCCCGCACAGTTGAATGACACTCGGGCACACACACTATAAGCGGGGCAACATAACACTTGTGGGGCTTCTTCGCTGGTAGACTGGCCAATTGGCAAACTGGGAAACTGGCAATCCGATGACGACGGCGACACCTTACCGGTTCCATTTCCTGATCCATGGTCAGGTCACCGAAGGCCGGCATCGGCGGTTTGTCACTCTCTGGCTCCCTGGCCTCCGTTTCTCCCTGCTCCTCGCTCTCGTCCTCCGAACCGGACTCCGGATTGGAGTATTCACTAGCCACGGACTGGTAGCGCAGCGTTTCCCGCCTGCCCTCGATGCTGTCGTGGTCGCCGAGCACGAGCTGCTGCTGGGCGAAGCTGAGCCGCCGGAGACTGGAGTCACTGAGCTCCTCGTTGGAGTTGGGCTGCTGACTGGCGGCGGCGGCCAAAGCGGCTTCGTAGGCACTCAAAGGACTCCTTACGGCACTGCCCACGGCAAAGCGGACAATGGGCGGGGGATTGGCAATGTTCTGGGCACTTTCCGCCGAGGAGACGGTATCGTCAACCGCCGGAGGGAATGTGGATGTGGGTATGGATGTGGATGGGTCCAGGGGCTCGTCCCCTGATGGCTGGGGTTCCGTAGTGGCTAGTTCGGCCAGTGGTCTGGCGTTGAGGCGGTGGCCGCGCTGCTGCTGCTGCTGCATCAATTCCAGCTTCCTGCTGGATCCGCTCGAGGATTGGGACTTGCGAACAGCTCCGGTGCCGCTGGTAGACTGAACGCGGCTCGGTTTCGCTGGCGCCCGCTCTCTGGGCGGCGTATCGCGAGTGCTCTCGGTGGTGGTGATAAGGGGCGACGGCGACTGCGACTGCAACTGCGACGGCGATGGAGACTCTCTCTCGGGGCTCTGGGGCTTCTTCTTGGCCACCAGCAGCTTGGTGGTGCGGGTGCTGCTGCTCGTATCTCTCGTGGTCACCGTGGTGGTGGTGGTTTTCTTTCTCGGCTTCTTCTCCTCGGCGGCGGGTGTCAGGTAATCCGTGTCGCTCTTGGGCCTGCCGCTCTTGCCGCTCTTCTTGGCGGACGCTGCCGCTGGCGCTGGCTCCACCTTCTTGCCACTGATGGTGATCTGCAGGGTGCTGCTGCTGGCGGAGGAGGGCGAGCCGGGTGGCGATGGCAGGGGAGTGGCCTCCAGGTGCTCCACACTGATGTCGTCGCTGGTGGCCAGGCTGTGGGGTCGCACCTTCGGGGTTTTGCCCGTCTTCCGCAGACCACCCAAGAGCAGGCGGCGCGTGAGGCTCTTCTTTTTGGTCTTGCCCAGGGCTCCACTATCCGTGGATATGGAACTGGCCACGTCTTCCAGTTCGCCAGGGGTTTCCTGCGCCTCCTCCTCCGCGCTTCTCGTCTCCCGGTCGGTACTTTTATCCACCTCCCTTTCCTTTTTGGTTTTGGTCTTCGAGAGGCTTCGCAAAGCCGCAGAGAATCGGGAGCGGCCCTTGATCTTGCCGCTGGCCTCCTCCGACTCCTCTCTGGGATCCCCCTGACCCTCCTGGCGATCACAATTCTCCTCCGATAATTCCGATTCCGCTCGCTTGATGCCTTTTACCCGCTGCTCGTCCACGTTGGGCATATTTTCAACTGGCACTGATGATGCTCACAAGCGATTCTTCAATGGTTTCCATCTGCTCCAGTTTGAGATCCTTTCCTGATCCTGGGCTCCCGTTTTTTTGTTTATTTTTTAAGCAACCGCAGCGTTGCGAATTAAACGCGCACTGAAATCCCCAATGACGACGCCTAGGCTTTTATAAATTTTAATTCGCCCCGTTGGCCCCGCCTCCGCCCCGCCCCCTTTTTGTGGTGAGAGGTTTAGCATTACAGTTACGAAAAAAGCTAAAGCTGGCCAGGTGCTTACCAACACTGGCTGTCGCCTCGGAATCGCTTGCGAAATGAGCGTGAGAAGAGCCGGCGGGTCTTTGAATGGATGGATTTAGCGGACGACACCCGCTTATCAAGCAATCTCCGGACAAAGATTGACCAGTGTCCGGTGGCGAGGAATAATGCCAACCAGTTGTTGTGCTCGTCCGACTCGGCTAGTTCACCCTGCTCCCAAATCACTGGGCTCTGTCATTGGGATCAAGGTGAGTGCCCGATCATCCGGCACAGCCAGTGGAGCAGGGCATTCAGTGTCCATTTCTGGACCTGACCTCTCCAAACACCCCAGTCCACGCTCCACCTACTCCTCCACCTCCACCTCCACACCCGCCGCACTTGGCGGGCTTCCTTTAAGCTGAGGATTTGCCGCATCAACTTGTCCCAAAAGAGTCGCTCGGCATTAAGTGGGCGACACATCAATCTGGCGGGTCGGGCGCTGTCTTGGCTGATTGTCGACCGACTGCTGCGACGTGACTATATAGAATTACGCTTATTACAAAACGTGGTTAGCCGCAGTGCAGAGAGCAGGGCGACAGGGAAAGAGATACATGCATCGACCATATACGATTACACAAGTAATAACCCAAAACGCAGACGGGATGGCACACATATCCACATTCAGCAAGCTAGATCCCATCCCACAGCTGTACTATACGGAAGTGGGTCGTAGTATGATTTCAATAGATATTGTAGTTCCTAATAATAGAGACACATTGTTGTAGTAGCCATAACATTGAGTTGTGGGATAGGAATAGGTAATAAATCCTTTAATATTAAAATAAAAACTACTTATACAAATGATACATAGATTAGTTCCTGAGGAAAGAGAGATATATCTTCTTAGGATCTAGTTGTAAGTCCCTACAAAAGAAAATACCTGTTTGGATTAAGAAAAAAATTCAAAATTAGATTAAGAATGAATGGGCACTTTTAATAATCAAAGCCTTGATTTCACATTTATTCAAATAGACCAATAGTTTGTTCACAGACTTACGGAACTTATGGCTAGACATTTATATTTACGATTTGCACTGAAATATGTCTATAGTAAAGCACAATAAAATTTGTTGTCTACAGCGTCACCGATATGCACATTTTGAAATCGGGGACAAGTCAACACTCGAATCAGCTTACATAATTCATAGGAGATTAGAGCAAACACATTTCCCTCAGCTTAAAAAATTCCATTTGGAGGAAAGAGGGCTTTTAAACTGTGTTGTGTCATGGAAACCGAAAGCATTAGAAATTCACTTTCGCATAAAAGTCGAATGTGAAGGAATTCCTTTTGTGCCTGCAGATGTTTACACGCAATCGAGCCACAAAACAGGAGAGCTATGTGAAACATCTCAGACGCCTGCAATTACCCCAACGACCCCATTCTGGACAAAAGGCACAGCTCACGGATGCCTGGATGCGATGAGGTCCTGCACGTGCGGCTTCCTTGCCGCAAATCGGATACCGAATGGAAATCACAAGAAGCCTCCACATCCATGTCCTAGCAATCATGTGCTTGAATGTTCAAAAAAGGACCTAAGCACGTGGCTAAGTTCCTGGAATGGAATCTACTGGGATTGCATGCATCACGCCAAGCGTTAAATCGAGCAATGTGGAGCAATAATTATATTTTTAGATAGTTTGAGAAACTATATTTATTGGCAAGCTATTTTTTTAAGCGTTTAGTTAAATGCCACTTTTTGTTGGCGCATTTTCTACATGATCCCCAAAAAGTATGCAATATTTTTATTTATATACGAGTAAAATGTAAATTAATAAGTTGGAGGCACTTGAAAGGGTAAAATTAAAATCAATAGTTGTTTTTAAACTTATTTATAAAAACTAGATAGCTACTGATAATTTAAAAATTAAAAATATAAACTAGATATGTAAAGTTAAATAGCATTATTTAAACTAACTTTATTTAAAAATGGTCTTTCCATAAGAGTTTAAAAATAAAATGAAGTTTTTATTGATTATGATTTCATTATGTGTATGAGTCGTGAGTTTTTCTTTTCCAAAGCTTTTATAACTGTTTAAATAGCCTATTTGTTGCAATCCTAGCACCTTAAACTAACTTGCAGGTTCAGATTGCACAAAATGTCAACATGGAGGTGATATAAAGATAGTTGGTAGAGGAATTTCAAGATTCGCACCTTGGTTTGCGTGATTTCAGGGCAGCGATGTGACTCTCCCAGTTACAATACTTTATACATATGCTTATCAGTTGGGCGGGCAATTGTTATGGAAATATAATCAGACGGCCACAAAAGTTAAATCAAATGAACAATAATATGGAGTGCAATGCCTTAGCCAACGATGCGAGTAGGGAGTTCGAGATTGATTACATAACGAGGAGGATGCTATCCCCCAATGGACTCTGCACACGCAACTTTGCGTATTATCAGCCGCATGTAGAGTGGAGTGCCAGCTCATATCTTATCATTTCATGGAGTCACCAGCAAAAAAACGGAGGAGGAAGAGAACGAGCCCTGATTAGATAGTGGCCCAAAAATGCAATGAGACCTTGTGATTCATCAAGTGAATTATAAACATGGGCGATGTGTAATTGAAAAATACTACCAACGTCTGGCATTAATTACAGACCCCACACTTTCGCTGGCTAGTTCAATAATTGACCTTAAAACGTGACGTTGTCTGACTTTTCTATAGTAAAACGGTAGCAGCCCTTCCAATTCCCATTGTAATTTCTCAACAGCAGCGGATATCTATATCTAGCCAACCGGCAATCACTTAAGTAGCTGAACACACCCACATGGTGCTCGCCCCCGGATCCGTCCCTTACAAATGGTATGTATATAGTATATCCATATCCGTGGACACGATGAGAGTGAAATTTTTGTGGTACCCCCCACTCCACTCGCCAGTTTGGCATTGTTTTGATTTTATCGGTTTGTTTATTAGCTGGCTGGGTCTCAAATGTGGCAACGGTTTCAATTTCATTACCATTTAATTGGTAGACTTAATGCGAGGGAAAATGGCAATCGGTTGAATAGAGATTAGAAATAAAATGATTTTGATGGGGAACCTGGCATTCTAATGTGGGCGGGAAAATGTGTTAGAGTGCGCATCGCGCTCTGGAACGTTCCGAAATACCAGTATTTTAATTACTTTATATGCATTTGTTTCGCTCAGTAATCCCATCTGGCGCGATGAGTTTTAACCAAGTTCTCTGAACGACTTAAGCGGCTAATGAGTGCACGCTGGTTGTGTTAACGGCCTGACAAGGCAAAATAGCGAAAACCATTGCAACACTTGGCCAACTTATTTTTTCCCCACACTCGCAGAAATTAGTCAAACCATTTTGGAAAATCATTATTCATCGCAGATTGCCCTTGAATTTGGCTTTGTTACAAAAAAACTACCTAAATAATAAAGAAAGTGAGTATTTTATAACAAAGTGTGAATTAGGAGTCTATCTTTAGAACTTAAAGTTTTTTATTTAATTTGGTAGAACCACTTTTCTTTCGTTAACTTTAAAATGCTGTTAGCTAAGTAAAAGTATTAATGTTTTATTAGTAATGTTTTATGAGTAAGCACTTATTTATAAGAAATTAAAAATCAGAATTAAATTTTTTAAAACTAAAATGAATAATATATTATTCCTGAAAAAATGTAAAATTCGATTACATAAACATTACTTATGAGATGTATTCCCAGTGGTTTTCCTCAGTGCTCCCCCACTTTAAACCTGACCCCAAAAGGTATTTTGACATGTGGTAATCGTAAACAAACCCGCTCCGTTGTGGAATTCGGTACTCACTCCGTTGTGCAGGTATCCGTTGTTCCGGTTAATGTCCACGTGGGTTCGATTGGTTCCCGCAGGCATGACCGCAGTGGCAGGCAGCGCCTCAACGGCGTCGAGATCTAACTCCGGCTTTGGTTCGGCGTAGGCCGGAGCGGCACTCCGGAGCGAGAACTGGGAGGAGCTGAGGGGCGGACTAAGGAGCGACTCCGAGGGAGGGATCCAGATCTGGCGACGCACGAAGATGGGCGACTCCTTGGCGCTGAGGGCGCCCAGTGAGCCGGGACCGGAGCTCAGGGGACGGTGTGTGTGCTCCACCGGCAAGTGTGCCGTCTGGGAATCCAGGAGGTCCTTGGCCAGGTACTGGCAGCGCAGGCAGGCGCAGGAGGTGAGCTCTGTGAGTTGATCAGCTGACTTGGATTTGGGCAAGGTCTTGCCCAGTCCGGCGGACTCCTGGGCCAGACAGTCGCAGATGTTCCGGCGTCCGGCGGAGGTCGAGACAACGCTGCTCCGGATGACGCTGGTTGCCATGCAACCACTGATATTGCAAGTGCGATCTTTAGACTTTCTGCGGTCCAACGTTTATCTCACGCCCCCGCCCAGTCAAGGTCAATCACACACGCTCTGTTGGAACCTCTAAAGATCCCGAGCAACATGTGGTTTCTCTATTCCGCTCAAGGTTCCACGGGCTAACGGTAAACAAAGCCTAGACTGTTCTTGAACTTAATCACAATTGGTATTTATTTGCGAAATTCACTGCTATTTGCGGCGTTATCTCATCCGATCGGTTTGTTGAACTCGACCGTTGCACTTTTTTGGACAATTGTGCACTCGAATCGCTGGAAACTGGTTTCAAATGCAAATGGAGCACTTCGGTGGTCACCACTTACTTAGTTTCTTGCATAAGATTTAAACGGTCTTTTGTTATTTTTATTGTCTAATACGCGTTATTTGGTCTTGGCGGTAATTCTACGATTCGTAAATTAAATTCACACACGTTCGATTGGCAGACACGCAAAAATACGCTAATAACAACAAAAACATGACCAAGACGATACACAACAACAACAATTGCGAGACT